TTAAAAGTTAACCTACTTTGCACCCACCCTGCACCGTTATTTTTTTGGTTTAATTTTAATTAAAAAGTAATTTACTTTGCACTTACCTTGCACCGTTATTTTTTAGCAATTATTTTTAAAAGCAAAAGAAAAGGACCATTTTTTTGCAATTGCAAATAGCTTTATTTTTTTAAAATTTAAATTTTTAACATTACTTTAACTAATACAATTTATTTATAACGGTTACCGGGAACTTCCCGTTCCGCATTTTGGCGCTAATTTTTTATTGCTGCTCCTAAATTTTGGTACAATTAAAGCCTTTCGGAAAAGGAAAAACGATAATAATAACGCCAAGCAACGTTAAGCTTAAAAGTTAGGACCTTTAAAAGGAAACGATTGGTGCAATTGTTAAATAAACTTTTTAACCTTTTCGTTGGAAGCTTTTTACGAAAGCACGTTAAAGGTGGCAAAGGGCTTAAGGATTTCGTTACGTTATTTGCGGCGCTCGTAATCCTGGATGCGGAAAGGCGTAACAGTATTTTTGGCGATACGGATATTGTTTAAAAAAAAGGGCACGTTAAATATAATACCGTCGAAAAATTTAACCTTCGAAATAGCAACGTATATTAAGCCAAATTGGAAATTTTTAGCAAAAATATCGAAGATAGCGATATTAAAGGTTATGCTTTGTAACTTGTGGATAGTAATAACGTACGACACCGTAACAAAGAATTGTACTTTATTGCAAGCCGTATTTCTTTTTTAAAAATTTCGAAAAATTCGGAAAATAAGCATAACGTCGGCCGGAATGCTAGGGTTTTTAAAAAAGCAAAAAAGGCCGTTGTATTTATTAACTTGCACCAAAAAAAAAGGGAGGCGTAACGCAAAGGTCGATAATGCAAAGGGCCCAGGCAATATCCCAAACGTAACCGGAAGTACCGTTAACAAGGCCAGCTTTGGTCCAAAAGTTGTCCGTAATCATTATTCGAGCCTTAATGCATAAAAGTAAGGCATTGTGCAAATTGCCGGCGTCCCGGGACTCGACGGCCTCGGCCTTTTGGTTAATGTTATTAGTACGGACTTAAATTACAAGCTTATCGAAGTGCTTTAAATGCGTAAAATTATACTTTTTAATTAGTGCGTTAATTAAATAAATGCGAATAGCCTTATTAAAGCGAACAATTTCGGCAAGCCGGAAACGGGTAAAAATACGGGTCGATAAAACTTCCCAGTTACGGCGGGAAAGCGTATTGTTTCGCAAACCTTTAAGGGCGGTACAAAAGTTAAAAGCGTTGGTATCGTTTCCAATTTGGCGCATAAGTTAAATAAGCTTAACAATTTTGTTAAATTCGAAATAAGCGTTGCGTTTTGCCATTTCGGGGAAAGTGCGGAAGTTAGTTTTAAAAAAGTACAAAGCTTTTTGCATAACGAAAAGCAATTGGAAAAAGTTTTTTATTAATACGACGTTGCGGCCGCTAAAAGGGAAATTTAGCTTTTTAAAAATTTAACGCATGCGGCGGTCGATAAGGTTTAAAATAACAATACTTATTATCGACTTTTTGTCCAAAAAGATGTACTTAACGTTTTTTATGCCGTTGCGGATTTCGGCGGCCCTTTGTGCAATAAAATCGTTTACAAAGGTATTGGCATGGGATTAAACCGGCAAACGAAGGAAAAAATGGATCGTAATACCGTTAATAGCATTAGCTATTACGCTAATCGGTGCAATACGCTTAATAATGTTTTGGTTAATGTTACGAACAATATTAAAAACGCGAAAGTTAAAACAAATAAAGTTAAAAACAAAAATTTTGCCCGTGCCTTTACGTTTATTAATTTAAAAAAGCAATTAATGCTTACGCTAACGACGGCGGGTAAAAAAGTAACGGTTAAAATCGACGGCCAATACTTAATAGTTAACGATTTGGTCGTAATATAATCGTTATTGCGGGTTTAACTGGTTTAAAGCGGATAGCGAAACGGTATTATTAATTTCCAAATTACTTTGCCGGAATTCTTTCCAATAAAACCAACGTTAAAAAAAAAGATTTGCATAGCGGCCAACGTAAAGCTGCCAATCCTTTGCTAGGTTAAAACTTTTGTTGCTAAATATTTCGATATTTTTAACTTTAAAATTTCGGAAAGGGAGTTCGGCAGCAAAATAAGCCCAATCGGTACGTATAAAATCCGCCGGGTTATTAACGGTTTCGGGGTTATTTTCGAATTCGTCGTTAACGCTTTTAAATTTATTTTCGTCGATGCAAATATAGCCATCTTTGTTATAAATAAGGCAATTGGCCCGGCAATGCTTGTATGCTTTAAAAAAAGTATTAAAAGTTTCGCTAAATACGGTTTTAAAAGCGTTAAGCGTAAAGTAAAAATGGTACAGCATTAATTTAACCTTGCAATAATCCTTTTGCTTGGGGTTATTATTCAAATCGATACGTTTGTACTTCGGAAAATAGTTTAATACGCAAAGTTTAACGTAAAAACCAAAAAAAAACCACGGTATACGCTTGTAATTTATTTTCGTAAAAAACGTAAAGTACGTAAGGTTTGGCTAATCCTTTCGGTCCATATACTTTTGGTATAATTTGCGGATAGCAATAACCTCGTTGTAATTAGCGCTAATTATAGCGGCGTTTTGGTTAGGATTAAAAGGACGGCAATTAACCAATTAAAAAACGTGGTTGCATTGGATTAAAAAAAAACCGAATTGGTAATAACACATTTTTATAGCAGGCCAATTTCGTTCGGCCACCAATTTATTTATTATTTTAGCAACGAAAGATACCAAAGGTTAAATGTGCGAAATTTTAAAGATAACGCCCTTTATAATTTTTTTAAAAGGAAACGTTTGTATTTCCGCTTTGGAAACGTATTTAGCGATATAATTAAGCATATTTTTAAGCGAAATGCAAAGGTTTGCATCCGTATTGGCCGTTTACGCCAAAGTTACGCCGCGTATATATTAATTTATACGCTCGTTGTTGGGGCGGGCACCGTTGTATGTTAAGTAGCTAGGGTTAAGCGTATTGGTAAGGTAAGCGGTAAGGTAAAGGGCACGAAAGTAATGGAAGCGACAATTTTTTGTAGCAGCGGGGGCCGGAAGCTAATACTCGGCAATAAAGCCCGGAAGCTAACCCTTAATAGCAGCAACGGGCCGGCGCTTCGGTACCTTTTTTTTCCGCATACAGTACGTAGCGTTGCATTAATGCCGTTAAATTCGGTTGGTAATGCAGGAAAAGGATTTAAAGGTAAGCTACAAATCGTTAAATTTAAAGTTAATATCGTACTTTAAAGGATTGTCCTCGTTAAGCGGTAAAATACGGCCAAGCTTTATATTTTCGGCGGTAACGTGCATGCTTTAAAACTTTGTAAAGTGCTTTTTGCTTCCCTTTGCTTTTATTAAAGTAACGTTGGGAGCGTTGGTTATTTAAAACAAGCCGTGGATGTAAAGGTTATTACGGCTTTGCCATTCGTAACGAAATTAATAGCCCAAAAATTTAAACCGCTTTATTAAATACTTTTCGAAAAAAAATTTAAACCGGCGATAAAAATGGTAAGCGGCGATTTAAAGGTAAGCTCGAAGGTTTTTACGGGCAATCTTTTATTTAACGGCATTATTACTTCGTTTTTAATTGTAATAGCGAAGCATAACCTTGGCCAAAAAGTGCTAGTGCAAATTGGCCGTTAAAAACGTTATAAAAAGGTGGGAACAACCGAAAGCATAGCACAAAGCATTTAGCTTTCGGCTTTTCCCTTTCCAAAAAAGGCGGGTGCTTGTTATTGTTAATTTTGTCCTTCGATAAAAAGTAAGGAAAAAAGGGAACGCCCGCTTTATGCTTGCTTGTTTGTACTTTTAATGGTCGCGGGCTTATAATATTTACCCGCAAATGGTAAAAAAAATACCGGTGCACGCTAAAACGCTTCGAAAACTTTTGGACTTACCAAACCGCGACGTAATGTAAAGGGGAAATAACGTAATAATAAGGAAAAGTATTGCTTTAAACATGCTAAAAGGATAGGAAAATGTTAATTTACCTTTTAAAATATTAACGGAACGGACGATAAAGTTAAGCAAAGCTTGGCCTTTAGCGGTATCCCCGTTAAAAGCCTTTTTTAATTAATTTACGCTATCGAATTTGTAGCGGGTGCCAGTACGGTTAACGAAAAAGTTGCTTTTTTTATTAATTTGGGCCTTTATTATAACGTTAAAAGCAACGTATCGAAAGCGGGGGTGGTTTGCAAAACGCCCGTTATGCTAATGTAAAGCATGTTGCACTTAAGCTGCGAAATTAACCTCCCGCAAGCAAAGGAAGGTATATTTACCGGTTCCGTAAAGCATTAGTAAAAGAAAGGCTAGGCTTATTAAAGCGACGCGATGGTTAAAATCGTTAATAAGCGTAAATTTAACGGCGGGCAAAAAAAAAACGTTATTTCCAACGGGGCGTTTTAAAAAGCGCTAAAAACTTGCAATACGTACTAAGACGGCGGCAAGGTCGCCGGCTTCGCGGAATATTTGGGCCCAAAATCGATCGAAATTTCGTTAGTTGCTTATAAAGTTAAAAGCAGCAACGTTTTTTCGCTTACCTTTTGCGTTTGCGCAAATTGTTGCTTGGAAAGCTTTATAATCAATTTCGTTAACGTTAACGTACACAAATTAATCCCGCACGTTATCGTTTTTAAGCAAAAACCTTAAAAATTTTTCGTTAATTTTTAAATTTTTGTAGCCAGGTTAATTAGCCATTAACCAAACGAGCTAAGCTTAAACAACGTAACGCCGGACTTTAAAATCCCTTTTAAAGATACGGAATATGTAGCTATTGTCGATAAGAGTAAAAGGCTCGGCATTTGCACGGCCTTTTCGACCTTAACTTCGATTTCAACCCCGATTTCGACCAGCGTTTGCAAAGCCATTAGCAAAAAGGCCGCTAACAAAAGGGATAAAGCGGAAAATAATAACGCCAACGTTCCGAAAAAAAAAAGGGAATTTGTTGTACAAAGCGCTTGTATCGCGTTGGAAGCAAATGGTATAACTTTGGTACTTTAATTGCTATTTACGCACAAAAAAAGCGTTAATATAAATGTAAACTTTAAATATTATTTACTTTTCGATTTTTGTTAAAGTGCCGAAGTTTTTAAATTTTTGCGGTACGTTTTTAAAATGCATGTAATTTTCGTTGGAAAATAAAAAAAAAGGTTAATAAATTAGCCGGCGTTTTTGCAACGGCAATTACCGCAAACGCTATTGCAAACGTTAAGGTTAAACCATTTGCGTTAATAACGAAAGCACTTCTTTTAAATAAAATTGCCGTTTACGAACCAACGGAAATTGCGTATCCATTTAAGCTTATAATTATTAACGCATTGTTATTAAAGGTTATTTGTAAAAAAAGGCTCGGGATCCTTTAAGTAAAGTGCGGGCTCGTTCTTTTGTTTAACTTTAACGTTAAATTCGGAAGCAACAAAGCGACCACCTCGTTAAACCGCTTAATTACTTGCAAAAAGGCTACGAAATAACGCTTGTAAAAAAAAAAGGTCGTAAAAAAAAGTTTCGTTGCTGCGGAACAAATATTCGGAAAAAGGTAAAGGTATTATTTGCAAAATTGCAAACGGTTTTTGCGAAAAAAGTACAAATTAAAAGCGGCAAGGTTCAGGTTAAAAAGCGTTATAAAAATTACCAAATTTTTGTTACTTTTGTTCCTATCGACGTTAACGTTCTTCGAGTATTCGCTAAACCTTGTTACGGTCGAATAAAAAAAGAATTGAAAGGTTTAAATTTGTTATAAAGCGTTTTAATAATTACGTAAGTAAAATTTCTTTACCAATACGACGGTAAATTCGGTATTTGCGTTAAATAGTAGCACGACGGCTTTGTGCCCGTTGTATAAACGCAAAAGCATTAAGATCCATATTACGGGGGAAAGGAACGGTCGAAGGCTTTAGCAAGAAAAGTAGCGGTTAGGACGTAGGTGCCGGCCGGAAGGCAGGTACCGGTAAACCTCCCGCCGGAATAAAAGGTTGGTTACTTTTATTAATTTTTTGCCAAATAAAAAAGCGAGCATTTCGGTTAAACAATGCAAAATCTTTTGTGCGGGCCTTTTTGGGACCTAAAAAAATACGGTTAAAATTATTAACGGCATTCCGGAAATTGCTGCCGGCCTTTTTAACAAAGCTTTATCGAAAGCGATATGCCAAGCAATTGGCAGTATATTTGGTACCCCGAACAAGCTTAAATTTAGCAAAAGGTTTAATTTTTTTATAAGTATGGCATTGTTTCGTTTCGGTTGGAAGAGGAAGGGGGTTAAAAGGATCGGGAAAATTGGCCATGGTCGCAACCTGCAATTTGCAGCTTTTGCACCCCGTATATATTAGCAATCCGTCCAAAAAAAGCATTAATTAACGCGAAAAAGCCTAAATATTTTATTAATCGATTCGGTTTGATGCAATTTAATAGCGCTATCGAAATTTAAAAAAAAAGCGTGCAGGCGGTTACCAACGGTAAAGGAGTTGCAAATAAAAATCGATTTTTTTTGGCGGGGTAAAAAAAAGCGCGGCATTAATTGTAGGCGTTTAATAAAGCACGGAACGAAAGCACGTATTTTTAGCCCCATTATTTTAAATAGCAATAAGCGGTAAACGGGCGGTAAAAAGTAAATTTAGCAATAAATTTAATTGCTTTAAAATATAAGCCCCGCCTAAAGCATTAATTAAGGGCTAAAACATTAAGCCAAATTTTGCGATAATTAACGATAAAATTAATTGCAGCAACGTCGCCGCTACCAATTTGCATTAATCGCTTTAATTAATTAAACAAATAAATTTAATTATAATTTTTTTATTTAAATTTTTAACTTTTAGGGCGTAATTTCCGGGGGAAACCCTTTGGACCTTTTTTTTTTTTGCGAAGGGCTTTTTTTTTGCGGAAGGCTTTTTTTTTGCAAAGGGCTTTTTTTTTGCGAAAGGCTGCCATTACGCCCCCGCCCGCTACCGCATTGTTTAAAATTAAAATTAACCAATTTTAAGCAAGGATAGTTAGATTTTCGTGCGTAAATTGGCTACAAGCCATTTAAGCTACGGATTGTATCCCGAATAGGAAAAACCTTTGTTAACAATTTTGTTAAATTACCCCGGTAAAGAACAGCTACGCCCTCCGCGCACCAAAACCTTGTTTTCACCTGCTTACTTCCCCTCGCTGCGCTCCGTCCGGTAGGTGGCGGTGTTAGCAGGGTTTTGGTGCACGTCGGGCTTCGCTGAACAACCGAGGTGCAGGAAATTGAACACAGGTGAGGGGATTGTGCTGTAAGAATGAAAGCTCCATTCCAGATCGACTGGCACGATTCGGCACCCAGACCCGCCGACGACCATCAACTTCAGTTCCATTCCATGCCAACGCCTTAACGAGCTGTTCCTTTTTCGGTTACGTTATCACGTTATCTAGCTCGGGGAAGGCTTGAGACCCTGTTGCCCTTCCAAACTTTGGCGGCACTAGCGGCTACATGCGTACAGTGCATTCCCGCCGACTGGGGACTTTGAACTGTTCTGCAAAAACCTAAAAACCAGGGGCGTGCTCGACGCCGCTTTCCAGGCATTCTTCACTTTCCAACGTCGTGAAATAATGAGAAAATTTCAACAAATCTACTGCCAACGAGGAAGTACGACTACATCATCTTCCCCTGAGCCGGTCGATCGTTTCGTACTTGCCGACTATATTGTATACCCCACTTGGATTTTGGATCAAGTGCCAACAAACCCTACCCCATATACACAAGAGAATCTACAAAACCACACCTTGCAGGTCTCTTCATGCCGCTAAAAAGCTTAAAGATGGCTCGCTTTTCCGCGTCTGATAGGCATGGCTATAAGCATAGCACTCTGGCAAGTTTCTCGTTCCATCTTCCATACTTTCCTTTTCTTTTTGGCTTCTTCCAAACAAGAACAATGTCGTCCTGTGTTATTTTACCAGGCCCAAGGGCAGAACGGTGCAGTGCGTTGGCTGTATGGGGCGGATATTCTCTCTATCTTTTTCCATTGCGGACAAGTCGTCTGCGTGTTATCCCGGAGAGCTGCGGTATGGGGAGAGCTTACCGATAACCAGGTTGGAGTGTCTTCAAAAGAGGCACATGAGAGGCAGGTTTCCTCTCGCCAGGTGCACAGTCATGGCCAAGGAGCTCACGAGATGCTGTCGTCTTTCATATGGAGACTCTAGATTCGTGCCATGCGTGCACGACTGGGCATGCCTCCTATAGGGTAATGGTACAATAGCCGCGCTCTTGGCGGGCGAGGGACCCATTACCCGGCAGGTGTCAGGCGGGCGGCGACGCTGTGGCAGAGGTTGGCACGCGTGATTGTTGGAGCGTGAGGTTTGGAACTGGACGGGCAATATGTGGTTCAGCTCAGCTCCACTGGGCCGGCATGACTTTCACCGAGGACGCGGACTGCGGACGCCGGCAGGGAACAATGCAGAACGGAGTCGCAGGCACCATCACTCCTCGCTGACGGACGCCTCAGATCTCCCTTGCGGCCAGAGTCACGCACTATCACGCGAGTGGTTGTTACAGTGCCGTTTGTCACGGCAGGCTTGCGGGTGATCCTTATATTCAGAGACGGTTGGGAGGAAAATCGACATCTTCTTTTACCGGCAGTTGCTTGGCGTTTCTTTTCCCTGGGCGGTCTCTGGAAGCAGAGCGACGGCTACCATGGGACGCGTGCTGAGCCGACTTGCTTCTCTTCCCTGTTTTCCTGTTTCCACATTTACGCGTTGCGGATCCCGTTTGCCGCGTGCAGTTGCGAGCGACGCGAAATATTTCCTCCCGCTGCGTTGCGGTTGGCAAACAGTCAAAACAGAAAACAGTCAGCCCGACCAGAAAAAAGTCAGGTCAACCAACGCAGGGCGGTAGCAACGCGTCGGCGAAACTCACCCGTCTTGGCTGTCCCGTCTTGGCTGTCCCGAACAGTGGTCGGTAATTCCGCACCCGGCTTTTCTATTTATTGGGTCTTGGCCTGCCTTCGTTTTATTTCAACCGCCTCGCCCGACATCCTCGCGACCTTCAGGCAGCTGCACGCGACATCCCACATGCCGACAAGCCTTGGTCCAAAAGCCCAGACGTGATTGGAATTGGCTACGGATGCGACGGAATCACGGACGTCCCCAAATCGCGGTGCGCGGCAGTAGCCTGGCTGCTGGGCTGCATGATTCTGCAGCTACCACGACCACGAACACGACCACGACGAGGATCAGGACCAGAGCACCGCAGCCGCCCACTCGAACTTCGTCTGTCCAGGCCGCGGCTGGGTAGTATCCCCTCAGCGGCCTCGCCAACGGAATGCTGCCAACCTCACTCTACGGGACCGCCGACGCGCGGGGTCACGCGGTGCCCAGCCCGGCCTACGACGCGTGGCTGTCGGAGCTGCCAGAGCCCGTTAGCCCCGGCGAGCGTTTTGAGCGCGAGCTCCAGTCGTACCCGACCGGGGTCATGCGCGGCGCCAAGCGCAAGCGGGGTGACTTCCGCACGGATGCCACCGAGCGCCAGCGGAGCGACTTCCCCACCGACGCCGCCGAGCCAGACGAGAACCGCCACGAGAACCGCCCGGCCACCTCTGCCTCCTTCACCTTCTCCCGCCGCCTGTCCTCCATGTTCCAGCCCCCCCACCACCAAGAACCACCCGCCGCCGCCATGGACTCCCGCCGCTGGAGCCTCAGCTTCCGCCCCTTGAGCAGGGCGTCCATCTCGGCCGAGCCCGGCTGCGGGGGACAGCAGCCCCCGAGAGCGCACTCACGCCTCAGCGGCATATTCCGACCGGACCCGCCCCTGTCCTTGGCGGATGCGCCACCCAGGGTTTTGGCGCTCGAGGACGGCACGACTGGGGACTACCGGCTTCAGGTCGCGTTTGTCGGCGACGCCACGGTCGGGAAGACGAGCCTGATCAGGCGCTTCCTGTACAACCACTACGTCGACAGGGAATACAACCCGACCAACAAGGACCTGCACGTCGCGCTCATGCCCTCGGAGGCGGGCGTGCCGTGCCGGGTCGAGATGCACGACTGCGGCGGTGGCCAGGAGGAGAGCGAGATCAGCCACCTGACGCGGTGCTGGTGGGACGCCGTCGTCATTTGCTTTTCGGTGGGCGACGCGACGACCCTGAGTGCGTGTTTGAACCGCGTGAGTGCCAACACATCTTCTTCCTCCCGTTCTCCGCTCCCCCGCCTTTGCACCCTGCTGACCTGCACGCATCATCAAGTGGGTTGCTGACGCCCGCCAAAACGCCGAGGGGGTCCCCATCATCCTCGCCGGCCTCAAGTCGGACCGCCGCACGCCAACCCTGCAGCTGTCCTTTCTCCAGGAGAACGAGGTCGTCAGCCGCCAGCAGGCCGAGCAGGCCGCGCGGGCAATCGGCGCCGACAGCTACGTCGAGTGCTCGGCACGAAACAACGAAAAGGTCACGGACCTCTTCAGGACTATCATCACCACCGCCCTACCCAGGGTCATGGAGAATGCCAAGCGCGCGGCAGACAGGAGCCACGGGAAGCGGCGGAAGCCCAGCGTGCTGTATGGCACCGGCCGCGTGCTGCGTGGGCTTCTGCGATCCGCTAGCCACCGGCGGCCGTCCACGGCTAGCAACGCGACTCCGCCGAGCAGCAGAGGCGGTCGTGCCGACGACGGCGCCGCTATGGTGCACTACGATCACATCAACGCCCACACGGCCGTGAACAGGACCGACACTCTGAATGGTAGCAGCACAGTGAACGGCTACGGAGCGGTCAATGGCGGCAGCACTCTCAACGGCAGCTACGAATTCTTCAAGGCTAGGTAGTGATGCAGCAGTACCACAGCAGGCTGCCTCTCGACTTGCTACCGCCACGACACCTCGTCTCCCCTTTTGTTGCCAGTTTTCTTTTTCTTCACTTCTGTGACAACCCAATTTGATGTCATCTTCAACGAGATGCATTCTTGTTCTTGTACGGGCTTGGCTTGTCGTATTGTCTAACGTTCAGGGCACGGAAAGCCGTCCCTGCAGCGGGAGTATTGCTCCATTCGATATTGATATTTTCCGCGCTTCCCACATTATTGTCCCTTCGCCTGAGGAGTTTCACGGTATCCAAAACGGCCTTACTGCAACACAGGCTGAGAAGGGACTGCGGGGGTTTGACGAGTAAACGATGTCATGTACTATTACCTTGTTTCTTATGCCCCTAGGTTTACCCTGAATCACAGCGGAGCCATGTGTTATACGAATTAACTCAAATAGGGGTTGCCTCTTGATGGGATTCTGGCGGATTCCTTGCCTGCTTGTGAAAGTATGCCAAGTTACCCGTGAGATAGACCGAGATTCAGGCTCCACCGCAGGATGTATTGCGGCATCCGTCCATCCACTTTAGGCCGCAGTCATAGCAGAACTCGTAGGAGCACATTGTGCCTGGGATGTTTAGAAGTACACACCTGGTCAGTGCAGCACCAGGGGGGAGGGGGATTGGGGGAGCTACACGAAACAACAAGAAAAAAAAAAGGCAACATCTTACAGGTTATGTGCGAACAGCCCTTGTTCTTCTCGATCGGCCACCGGCACCCAGGGCACCGCTTCGTGGTCTGAAATATGGTGGCCTCGGTCAGCCGCAGCTCCCTGCCGCGCTGCGCGGCCCGGCGGCGCGCCTCGTGCACCAGCCGCGCGCGCTCCGCCCTCTCGCGCCCTTCGCGCGTGTCCTCGTCTTCCTCCTCCTCCTCCTCCTCCCTAGCACCACCGCCGCCGCCGCCGCCGTCCGGGTCGGCGAGCAGGCCGTCGTACTCCGCGCACGTCAACCCTTCGTGCCAGGTCACGTCGTGCGCGACGCAAAAGCCGGCGCCGCACCGCACGCACTCGGCCCGCCCGCTCCCGCTCTCGCTCCCGCTACCACACGCCTGCCCGGACCCGCACCCCGCGGCGGGGCACCAGCGGAACCCGGGGGCGGCTGCGGCGGCCACGGCGCGGAACGACAGGGCCTGGTAGCGGGCGCGGTCGGGCGGGTCGGCGAAGAGCTGGACGTCGTCGTAGGCGAGCGGGGCGGCGCACTCGGGGCAGCGCACGGAGCCGCCGCCGCCGCCGTTGGTGTTGTTGTTTTTGGTGTTGTAGTCCCACAACTGGAGCCGCGCGGCCAGGTCGGCGGCGATGGAGGCGGCGACGCAGCGCAGGCAGGCGCGCGGCGGGTGGGCGCACCGGCGCGTCACGGCCAGCGCGGGGAAGCGCGAGGCCGGGAGGGTGTCGGCGCACACGACGCAGTCGCGCGGCCCGCCGGTGAGGAGCGCGGCGGGGACGCGCGTGTGGGTGACGACGGGGGCGGCCGAGGGGTGGAGCTGCTGGTAGCGCTGGCCGAAGCCGCGGTCGTCGGCGGGGATGGTGGGGAGGTCGGCCGAGGGTTGGGATGATGATGATGGTGGGATGGTGCGGATGTAGGCGAGCGTCATGGAGCGCTCTTTGGCGGCGATGGCGGCGAGGTAGGGGTTGTTTGGCGGCGGCGGGCTCGGGCCGCGGTTGCGGGCCGGAGGTGCTGGGCCGGCTGGGGGGTTGCTGGTCGCCGCGCCCTGTAACGGGGGTATGGCGGCCGAGACGGCTGGGTCCAAGCTGTGGTCCAGGATGGACGGGTGAGTGGGCAGGTATCCCCGGAATGGTGCGGCTTCGTTGCGGAGCAGGTCCTGTGGCTGCTGCTGCTGCTGCTCGTGTACATGCTTGCGGGCGAGCAGCAGCCGCTTCAGCTTCGACTGCTGCATGGTTGCCCGTGGGTTTAGACTGGTAAATCTCGGCTGCCTGGTTGCTCTGGAGGTGGTTGAAAGTGGTAGTGAGCAAGTTGTATTATTATCTGAGCAGGTCATCCAGAACAGGGCTACCCACAATCCACACAAGTCCAGCATACTGATCACGAGAGCTAGCGACCTAAAAGGCAGGGCAGGCGACCAGTGAGACGAAACTGAAAGGCGCTGCTGCAGGCATGCAAACTGCGTGTTTTCAGCACGGCCGGGTTTCGTGTTGCCTGAGCTGAGCCTATGGGAGGCCTGGCCGTCTTCCCACTTTAGGCTGCAGTAGGCTACACCGCAGCTCTCCCGTGGGTGTAAGGTAGGGCTGATTTCTTTGGTAGTGGCACCAGAAACATCGCGGTAGCGATCGAAGGACGGTTTTTTCTTCTTCATCGACGAGACGCAACAATATGCATTGGAGACTAGCAATTGCCGAATTTGGACGTTTGACATCAGTACCTGAAAAGTCACCCATCTAGGTATAGGCATAGATCCATGACATCTCCAATTAATAAATGTTATGCAATGGCTGCTTGTAGCCATTTTGATATCTTCGGTACTGTCCAGAAAGATGCAGGTACATCAGCAGAAAGGTCACGACCCCTCCGCAGCCGCCGGCGGTTCTGGCGCCTTCTTGACCGCCGGCAAGCTGAACCCCTAACTTATACCACCACCAAAGAAGCCCAGCATACCGCCCTGCCGACCGGAGCCGGACGCCAGGGATAGCTGGGCCAGCAGCGTCTTGTCGCCGCCGCGGATGAAGGCCTCCCGCTTCTCTCGAGTGCCCCACGCCACCAGCATCTGCTGCCTGCACACGAGCGCCGGCTCCTTGACCATGTCGCGCTGGCCGACCTGACGCACGTACACGGCGGGCGTCAGCGCCAGGACGGTCCTGAGCTCTCCCTGCTGCTGCTGGTGCGGGTCCGCCGAGGCGCCGCCGTCCGCCGCCATCTTTGCGCGCGTGACCGTCTTCCTGTTCTGCAACATGTTCCTGCACTCGAGCCGCTCCAGCGACGGGAGCAGGTCCGGCGACGTGACGAGGCCGCCGCCCTCCTTCTTGGCGCAGTGCACGTAGTAGCCGTCCAGCGTGGTGTAGAAGTGGTGCGTCGACACCAGCAGCTTCTCGTGCAGGGCGATGGCGGGCCGGACGCACCCGTCGCGCAGCATGGCGCGCGCGGCGTCGGCCCGGGCCCGGGCGCCCGGCTCCGGGTGGTGGGGCAGGAAGACGCGGAAGAGGGAGGCGAGCTCGTCGGCCAGCGCGGCCTCGGCGGCGGCGCGCTCGGCTGGGTACTGGTTGGGGTCGGCCATGAGGGCGCCCAGGGCCTCGGCGCGCCAGTTGCGGATGGCGAGCTGGTCGCGGCGCGGCTCGACGTGCGTGGCCATGGCGTTCTCGATGGCCGCCACAGCGGCGACGTGGGCCGGGCGGACGCCGTACAGGGTGGTCTGGAAAACCCGCTCGTTGAGGTGGCGCATCACCATGGCGATGAGCACGTCCAGGTCCGTGTCCGGGTAGCAGGCGGCCTGGGCCAGGTCTGGCTGCTGGTACATGTGCTTCAGGATGCCCGACCATGTCGTGGGGTGCTTGCGCGCCCGCATCAGCGTCTCCTTGCGCAGCGCGTCCGAGTCCAGCGTAGGCTCGACTAACCGCTCGACGCAGTCGCTGACACGGGTGAAGAGCAGCTCCCAGTCCTGGAGGGAGAAGAGCATGCTTGTTAGCGGTATGGGCAGGCCACGGGAGGGTCGTGCAGCACGCTACTTACATTGGCGACTTCCTCGGGAGTGATTTCACGTCGGTATGGCTGCAGAGAGAAGATGTGGGATCGCGACTCTTCGAGCTCAGCCCGGAGCTTGGTGACCTCTGCTTCGAGCGTGTGGACGTGGGAGGCCAGCTCGCCAATGGTGCCCTTGGGAATTTCACATGGCGGTGGTGTTTGTTGTTCAGATACCCCCTCGGCCACCTCGGCCGCTCTCGCCCTCTGGGTCTCGTGTTCCAATTGTTGGCGGAGAGCCTCGTTCTCGCGGAGGAGCACCTCAAAGTCTCTGCTTGTCATTTCCTGGCGGTCGTTTCGGGCGCTAGGAACTTTAAGGGGCTGGCTGGGCGAAAGACTGCTGGCCCGCGGGCGGGACTCGTTCTCAACGCCTTCCATCAAGTGTCCTTCGCCATGGTGTTCGCGCAGGGAGTCTTCCTCCGCGCCTGTTGGGCTATGCTGGGAGCGAGCCATGGCATTTCCCCGTCTACTAGTTGGAGTTGGGCTGCCCAACGATGGGGGTGGATGAGTTGTCTTCGCCTCCCGAGTGTGACGTGAGTGTCGGCCCAGGCAGATTGTGGGTGTACAAGCACATGCCCGCACTCACAGACCCTCCTGCAACGAGGGAGGTAGGTCCATTGGGCATTGGGCGTGGGCAAACAGCAAGGGACAGTTTGGGCAGGCGTCCAATCAAACATGAAAGCCCCTGTTCTAGCTGAGATGGCACTTGAGCGTTGGTTTGTCTGGCCAAGTCCAGCGTGGAGCCCTGCCTAGAGGTGCCTGCCTAGAGGTCCCTGTAGGGCCACCCAAGCACCCCGCCACGCCACTGCTAAAGAGGTTCACATCGAAACGTCGGAATCGTGAACTCTGGGTTGCCTGTGCATATTGATGATGGATAAATGGGCCGTTCCCCAGGCAGCAGCGCGGCATTTTCAAACCTTGATGTAGAAAAAGAGAATGCAAAAGGCACGATCCACTGGGGCCAGCCACACTGAAAAGGGCACCTACGCATGGCGCTGCTGCAAGCCAATAATTCACAGCCGAGGTCAAGATGCAGCTGCACTTATGGAGACTATTGAGCACTTGTTTGCTTGGCTTGGCAGCCAGCCTGGCCACGGAGACCTGCAGCTAGCTCTGCTCACTTCTTGTCACACCGTCTAAAATGAGGGTAAGCCGTCGGGCCTGTGATGAAGCTGCAGGCAGCCACTACGCAAGCCATGCGGGGGAGTCCGTCCATGCGCATCCCAGCACGCCTGTCTCGAGCTGGTGAGGCTGATGGACACGCCTTTCTGCGCCTGAGCGACACCAGTCTCCAAGATACAACACTCTGGGTACCTCAGCCTCGACAGCTTCCCATCCATATCGTTGCCACCTCCTCACCAGCAAACAGCCAGACGCTCGCTTCCCAAGCACCGCCCGCCCAGCCTAACTCGCCATCATGGATTTTGAAAATCTCAGGATCAAGGACCGCAAGATCATCGTCGGCATCGACTTTGGTACCACGTACTCGGGCGTCGCCTGGGCCGAGACGCAGCGGCCGGACCGCCGCGACCCCATCACGACGTGGCCCATCAGCCGCGCCACGCGCGAGGGCGAGAGCTCCGAGAAAGTCCCGACGCGGCTGCGCTACGACGGCGACGAGATACAATGGGGCTTCTCCATCCCGCCGTCGGCACCCCAGCGCGAGGTCCTCGAGTGGTTCAAGCTCGACCTCGACCCGGCTCTGCAGTCCATGGGCGACGCCGTGACCAAGGACGCCGCCTCGCGCAGCGGCCGCACCACCGACGAGCTGGTGGCCGACTACCTGTCCGCCCTGGGCGACCATCTCATGTACACGCTCCGCGAGAAGCTGGGCGAGGACGTCATCAAGAATACCCCGCTCGAGTTCGTCGTCACCGTCCCGGCCATCTGGAGCGACCTGGCCAAGGATAAGACCAGGCAGGCCTGCCTGAAGGCCTCGGGACTGCAGGCTGTATCGAAAGCGCCGATCCATCTGGTGTCAGAGCCTGAGGCGGCAGCCATGTATGCCCTGCACGGACTGGACCCCCATGGCCTGAACGTGGGCGACGTGAGTTTTTATCGTGACCTTTGTATCCTCTGGTTACATTTCGCCGCAACTAACAATATTTTAACAGTCGTTCGTGATATGTGATGCCGGAGGAGGTACAGTCGACCTTATCACGTACACCATCACAAAACTCAAGCCCATCCTCGAAGTCCAGGAGGCCGCCCCTGGGAGTGGAGCGCTATGTGGCTCAACTTTCCTAAACCTGCGATTTTCCAACTTTCTAAAGGCAAAGCTGGGCCACCTGGAAGGGTTCGACGACGAACTTCTTAGTGAAGCCATGGACAAGTTCGAGAAGACGGTAAGTTGAAGCGAAGATCGACTTTGGGAGAAAAACGTGCCACTCACGTTCAAAACCAAACCACAGGTCAAGCGGCAGTTCAGCATCACGGCCAGCCCAGATGACACGTTCGCCATACCCGTGGGCGGGCTCGCCAACAACCGAGAGCTGGGCATCAGCCGCGGCCGCTACTCGCTCAAGGCGACGGACCTGCAGACCATCTTCGAGCCCGTGGTGCTCGAGGTCATCAAGCTGGTGCGCCAGCAGATGGCCGCCTCCAAGGTCGACGTGCGCGCCGTGCTGCTGGTCGGCGGGTTCGGTGCCTCCAACTACCTCAAGGGCCGCCTCAGGAACGCCCTGCTTCAAACTACTAGCCCCGCCGGCGGCGCACAGCCCATCGAGGTCCTGCAGCCCGCCAACGCCTGGCTCGCCGTCGTGCAGGGCGCCGTCATGAAGGGCCTCGCGCTCAGCGCCCCCGACCAGCTCACCATGGTCAAGGTGCGGAACCGCAGGGCGCGCAAGTCGTACGGCACCGAGTGGCGGTCGCGCTACGACGAGACCAAGCACGGCAACGTCGCGGACAAGCGCCATTGGTGCGGCCTGGACGGGTGCTACAAGATCTGTGAGTAGTTCGCCCGAGGAAACAGGAGAAATGGAACAGGCCGACTAACACGCCCCAAACCAAAACCACCAGACACTATGGAGTGGTTCATGCGCACGGGCGACGCCGTGTCGGAGAATGAGCCCTTCTGCACGCGCTTCATCTGGACCGGGGCCGTGTCGGCGGGCCGCATCCGCAAGGTGCGCATGGAGATCTACGGCGACGTGGGCGGCGGTGAGTTCGGCCGCGAGGCGCCCATCTGCCGCGACGACCAGGTCGCGCTAGTCTGCCACGTCGAGGCGGACCTGAGCCACATCCCCGAGGATATGCTCAAGCGGCGCACGGGGTCCGACGGTAACGAGTACTACGACCTCGAGTGCAAGATTGAGGCTCTCTGTGAGTTCTCCTTTTTTTTTCCTGTCTCTTTTTCCCTTTTAGGCTTGGCTGACATGGTTGCATTTTTTGTAGATTTGTCGGCGTCGACGCAGTACACACTGATTTACAACAACCAGAGGTACAACTCTGTCACGGCGGAATATGTATAGTAAACATCAAGTCGCGCCCGCCCGCTGCTGGGCAATAAAACCAGGATACCGGACAAGGCCCGCCGTCCCTCACGACCTGAACTTCTTGCTGGCCTCGCTGAAGCTCATCCCCTTCCCAATGGCCTCGGCCATCTTGGTGTCGGCCTCGACCTGCGCCGCCATGAGCGGTAGCGCCCGCTCCGCCAGCTCGCGCGGCAGCGCCACGACGCCGTTGAGGTCGCCGATCAGGTAATCGCCGGGGTTTATGGTCGCGTCCTGCTCGTCCGTGGCCAGCCTCACGGGCACGTTGACGGCCGCGACCTTGAGCAGCTCGGCCGGCGGCGCGGTGCCGACGTCTCTGGCAAAGATCTGTGTGTGTGTGGTTTTTTTCATGTCACTTTGTGTTTTTTTTTCTCCAGCCAGAAACGTGTGTGTACGCTCGGAAATCTCGTGGTAGTCAGTCAGTCAGTTAGGGGGAAAAGGTGCGGCGCAGCTTACCGGATACCCCAGGTCCCGCTGCTCCTGCAGGTCCCGGAACCGGCCGTCGATGACGGACCCGACGGCGCCGCTGGCCCGCGCCCGCGTCGACATGAGGCCGCCGTAGACGGCGTTGGGCGTCCGGGGCGGGCAGGAAACGAAGATTACGGCGCCCTGTGGGACGGAGTCGATCTGGTGATTTATCATGGTGTCATCAGCTTCTCTTTTTTTTTGTCTCTCTTTCCTCTCACAAAGAGTTGCCAAGGTTAAAAAGCAGCTTCCTCCCATACATAGTGAGTCGGGTGCTTCGGAGCCGGGTCCTCGTTGGGCACGTATTTGACCGTGTACGCCGGCCCGACGATCTTGGTCGGCCCGTCCTGGCGTTGCGGCGACCAGAGGGTAAGGCCCGAGAGGAAGCCGCCGTTGCGGACCTTGAGCTTACACAGCGCATCCGAGACGTCGCATCTTTTTTTTTTTGGTTCAACCCCAAAGTGTTTTCTCAGATGTTAGTTCCTTTGTGCAATGTGTGTATTTGTTGTGTTCCACAACCATCAGCAAGAATATGGCCGATCAGAGACTCCTTCCCTACGTTGTGTACTGCCGCAGCGCCCTCACTATCAGGTCCGGCGACAGCGCTGCCATGCTGGTCTTCAAGCCTCGGCGGTGGTCCGAGGTGTGCTTGCGTATGCCCAGGCGCGGAAGCAGAGACGGTCTTATTGTTCGCAGCAGGAGCCTCGTGAGCCACAAGCTGTATGAGATGCGGTGGAGGAAGGATGAGGAGTTTGTAATGTCTCGAGCTGCAGCTCCGCTAATGATGTCAGTTTGTTTGGCATCTGATAGCGGGGCGGGCAGTTCCTGCATGCTCGCTCTGGCAGGGCGGGGGTGGAACCGAAAGTAACCGGCCCGGCTGGACGGAACGGCGACTCGACCAGGGTGATGGCGTCTATTCTGGCCGCTTCACTGTCCATAGCTTGACAGGCACAGATCACGATCAAACCACAGGGTACAGAGCGAGTAACATGATCAATTCATATACAAAGGGACGCATCCTGGTCGCTATTGTCCCCTTTTCACGCTCATTCGTGCCACCTATTTCCACACCGACCTGCTGACTGATGCAGCTCCCTATTTTGCCCTGACGGTCCAAGCCTTCGTCGTAAATCGTAGTAAAGATAAACGCCGTCGCCCAGTCGGTAATACATTACAAAGCCCTTGCCCTGCCATATGATATAAGATGGATAAGTGAAGGTGAAAGGAAAATGGCATGAAAATGACCTCTCGTGGAGGGATTTCCACCAAGACGAGAAAGTCACGGGCAGCTTTGCGGAGTAAAGTGAGCAAAACCTCGCCGAGTAGTCCAAACGGCTCATTGAAACACCGCACATCCAGACCTCGGCGCCCTAACCCGCCATTCGTCCATGGCGGTCGGGCTCTGGAGGACCTGGTCGCCCCCCGTGGCCCACTCATCCTTATACCTGCCCGTGAGCAGGACCCTGCACGCCTGCAAGCGGCCGTAGAGCTGCGTGTCGCCCTTTGAGCGCGGGCACGCCTCATCGATGAGGTCGAGCGCGCCCTTGCCGTCGGCGTCGCGCGCGTGCACGTTGGCCCCGCCCCGCTGCAGCAACAGCTGCAGCGCCGTCTTGCGGCCCAGACGCGCCGCCATCAGGAGCGCCGTCTCGCCGCGGGCGTTGCGCGCCTCCACCCGCGCCCCGCCGTCCGTGATGAGTAGTTGCAACATGGCTAGCAGGCTTCGGTTTCTGTCCTCGTCCTGGTCTGTCAGGTGCTGGATGAATGCCATGAGCGCCGTGTTGCCGCTGCGGTCGTAGTGGTTGGCGTCCATGCCCTGGAGCGCCAGCAGGCCTCGGAGGAATCCGAGCCGGCGCGCCATGGGGCCATCCGCGGCTGCCGTATTGGGGCTACCATCGACGCCATCTGCGTCCGTTTTGCCGGCTCCCCTCTGGTCGAACTTGCGCTTGGGCGGCCGGTAAGAGTTGAGCGTGCTGTGACGTTCCTGCAGCGTGTCCTTGTCTCCAAGAATGACCTCGGCCAGACAGTGCAGAGCGTTACGGCCACAGGCGTCTTCGACGGTCGGGTTGGTGTCAGCCGCCGTAACGGTCCGCAGAAGGCCCGCGTGATGCTGCGTGAACATGTCCATCTCCTGGATAGGCGAAGCGGCGCTGACCGGGGAGCCCACGACTTCTTCGGGCAGTGGAGACAGTGCCTGCGTGTGGCGGGGCCCCCCTGTCAAGCCGAATGAGGTGCCTTCGGCGATGGCGGGTTTTGTGTCGAAGGCATCGCGGCGCGGCAGGAAACTGGCGTCGCAGGTGCGCATAACGATAGACATAAGGGTGGGGTCAGAAACCATGGCTTGCATGTGATGGAAAAAGGTGCGGCCGTAGACGTCACACTGGGCGACAATAGCCGGACAAGCACCGCGGACGTAGAAGAGCAGCTGAAGCAGCGGGGCCGACTGGTCATCCAGGTTTTGGAACCACTCGTTCGACAAGACGTGCAGGAACGTCTGGCCTGCCGTGTTGGATGAGCACAGCTGTTCGGCTGTACATAGCCGAACCAACGTGAGCATATAGGCGCAGTCCACGAATTGGGCGAACAGGTGAAGCGGGGTGTTCCCGAAGCAGTCCCTGACACTAAAGTTGTCCGGCATCGGGTGGTGGAGGTACGCTTTGGCTGTTTCGGACAGATGGCCTGACGGCGTGACCCAGAAATCCGGCATATCTGAGAGACCATCAACAACTTCCTGCCACTTTGCCGGTTCGTGTTCACATGTGCTATAGACGGTGAAGAAGTCCCCAGGAAGCGGCTTCGTGTCGAGCCTGTCGTAGCCGCTGGCGCCACTCCTCTGGTAGTCAGCCCCAGTGTTCAGGGAGTTGACGAGGTTCGAGTCGCTGCCGATCGTGAACTGGCGTATCAGAGATGAGACGTGCTTGGCAAACGTAGTCGAGTTTATTGACATGCGGTTCTTGAGACTGCGGAGGCTGGGGGTGCTTGCTGTCGTCGAGGCGGAGAACATGGTGGTGGTGTGCTTCAGGGGCTTAGGGGCGAATCCAGAGGACTGATAGCTGGACTGCGACTCGACAAGCCCTGCGGGCGGCGACCCGTAGGCCACGCTGCCCTCGGCGGACCAGGCCGTATCGATGTGCAGCGGGGAAAGCTGCGACGGTGTTTGGGTGTGGCTGTACGGTGACGACGCCTCGAACGTAAAGGTGCCCTTGGAATCTGGCAAGTAGCGTTTCCCGCTGCCGAAGCCGATGGCCTCATCCAGCATCTCCGGGTCCGATACCGCACTGTGGCCCACACCACTGCTGGCACGGGATCTCGGTGTATCCGTAGCTGTGCCCTGTACCTCTGTCTGTGACAGCGGAGAGCGAGGGTTGCTCCCGCGCCGGCTGTTGGACGCTGAAAGACCGCCAATGCGCTCGTTCATCTCCTCGCGGTTTTCGGGGCGTAGGTACCGGGGGTCGTGGCCGAGCATGTTATGCAACGTCTTCTGGGCCGAGTTGGGGCTAAAAAGTCACGAGTGTGAGAACGAGCAGACGGAAAGGGTTATGCAGAGGAAGTGGACCAGAGCAATCACATACCCTGGCTTGAAGCCGACATCTTCCAGAACCTTGATGATCTTTTTGATTGGCAAAGTAGTAAACATGTACAGTCGCGCCAGCTTCCGGGATCGGGACTCGGTCCATTGAGGCGGGCGCCCAATCTTGGCCGGAGGCGGCGAGGGGTTGTTGTTGGGTGGCGGTAGAGGCGATTCCATTGTCCTAGTCGAGGCCAAGACGTGGGCTGTGGGGCCAGGCTACGAGCGAATCGACCAGCTAGCTATTCATGTGCCAGCTCGCGATGATGTATGCGAATGAAGGTCCAGGCAGCCCGCCCTAGGGCCGCTCTGATCTGGAGCTTGGTGGGGTGGTCTTATTTTAAATGAAAGTATGCCGCTGAGAGGCTCAGGGCAAGGGAGCGAGACCGCCGGGAGACGGATCATGTTGTGCGGATGTGTGTGTGAAGTGCTGGCGGGGAGGGGGCGCAGCGTGCCTGATGCCAGGTAAGGCTGCGGGCGGACCACGGGTGGATGAGTGCATGCACTGCACGCTGGGCGTTGTTGAAGGCACCGCACCAGGGTGGATTTACATGGACCGCAACGATACGGGAATGAGGCGCAGCAGCTTTCTGCACGGCGGCTGGATGTGTAGGTAGGGAGGTACCGACCTGGCACTGCTTTTGCCGGCCGCTGCACTAACCGCGGCCGACCTCCAGTCCACGGTTGTTCCTCGAGGGGTACGGCATCAGAGAAGCAAGTCAAGTGACAGACTTATGGGCAGGCGCTTCTAGATGATGGACAGCGGCCATCTTGAACAGCACTCAGAAAGGCATCGCTCCGAGGCTTCTCTGAGGCTTGCTAGCGAAGGCAGAGACAAGGATGGCGTGCTCCACAGACATTGGCTGCTGGTCTTGCACCGCCACTTGTTTGTGGGGCGCGATGGCTGCACCGGAACCAGGCCTGGAACTCCTCCTGGTTGAGAAAGTAGAAAAAGGCTAGCCCAAAAAGGAGGCCGCCGCAAGCTGTCCGCTGGCTGTGCCACACCAATGATGGCAGCAGAAGGCTCGCCCCGGGGTTCACAGTCTGCCGTAGCAGCTGCCAACAACGGCTCCGTCCATTTTCCACTTGGCGCTTGTCATGCCCTCGCCTTGCTGGACTCGGCAGTGAGATGTAACCCCGGGACCAGCGGCGAATAAAGCCAAAGGGCTTTCTCGATGGCATGCGTCAGGTCTGCATCCTGTCAAGATATAATTGGACGTTTCCCCTGTCCCGCGGGCCAGAATCTGCCGAGTCTGCCGAGCGAGGCGGCTGTCGAAGGAGTGCTTGCTTAGGCCAGGGGGCACTGGATTGCTGACTGGCTGGGCCAGCGGGGAGTGAGAGTTCTCCGGGCTGGTGCGAGAATGAGCCACGGCGCGGATTGATCCCGAAGAGCGAGGCTTCTCGCGGTGGGTACATGTTTATTGTCCTTGAACTTGGGGCTGTGAGGCTTCGGTTGTTGCTCAATTGAGTGAGTGTTGAAGTCGCTCAAGTTGTCTCTCTGGCTTCTCTGGAGACTGGAAGGGCTTGCGGGGCCGTTTGGCGGCTGCAGTGGGGCCACTAGGTACCTAGGGATTGATGATAACGATAGCAGCCTGGCGGTGTTATCGATACGAAGCGGGCGGCGCCTGTAAAGGAAAAAAAAAAGTTGGTCGCCAAGAGGTTGAAGCTCCTCCTCCTTCAAGGGGTCTTCGTAGGGCAACATTGGCCACATACCTCCTAAACAGCAATTTACTGCCTTTCACAATGGGGAAACGCAAGGTAGCCGCGCTCGAAAAGATCGATGCTGATTTGTACGCTCAGCGCTGCCGAATCCCCCGCCCAAGACTACAGCGCAGGATGAACGACTAATAACTAACAACGGCCCTCACCTACAGCGCGAGTCTGCAATACAAAATCCGGAGGGATCCCCGGTCCTACCAGGACGAGTTTGAGAGGCAGTACGAGCAGTACGTGTCGCAGCGCGAGATCTTCCTGTCGTCGCCCTCAGCCGCGTCGTCGGACCAGGTCCAGTCGTTCCACGACCTGATCGACCTAATCGCCCACGTCGCCGACTGCTACCCCGAGTCCCTGCGCGAGTTTCCCGACGACCTCAAGCGCATCCTGCTACAGCACCATGCCGCCCTTGACGGCGATCTGCGCGACAAGATCGTCGGCAGCCTAGTACTGGTGCGCCGCAAGGAGATCATTGACTCGACCAGCCTCCTGACTACGCTCTTCCCCATCCTCGTGTCCACCCCGAGCAAGTCCCTACGCACCCTGCTCTTCCAGAAGATCCTGAGCGACCTGCGCAACTCCAACTCCAAGACCATCAACCACCGCCTCAACCGCACCATCCAGACCGTACTCTTCAACCTCGTCACCTCGGATCGCACCTCCTCCAAGGCCATATGGGCCATCAAGCTCACCCGTGAGCTGTGGAAGCGCCAGATATGGACCGACGCCAAGCCCGTCTCAGTTATGAAAGAGGCATGTCTGTCCGACAACGAGAAAGTCATCGTCGGCGGCGTGCGCTTCTTCCTAGGTGGCGACAAGGAGCGCGAGGAACACGAGGACGAGAGCAGCGATGACGAGGCCGCGCCGGACCTTAGGAAGGTCAAGCACCAGCTTGGAATCAACAAGAAAACCAAGAAGACGGAGAAGGTCTACAAGAGCGCCGTTGCCAAGGTCAAGAAGGCCGAGCGCAAGAAGGGGCAGCCACACCCGCTCAACTTCTCGGCCCTGCACCTGCTGCACGACCCCCAAGGCTTCGCAGATTCCCTGTTCCAGAAGCACCTGCAGAGCACCCGGAACAAGCTCTCGCTCGACAGCCGCCTCCTAATACTGCAGCTCGTCACGCGCCTCGTCGGCCTGCACAAGCTCACCATCATCTCACTCTACTCGTGGTTCGCCAAGTTCCTGACTCCCCGCCAGCAGAACGTCACATCCTTCCTCGCCTCGCTCGCCCAGGGTACCCACAACCTCGTGCCACCCGACGCGCTCGAGCCGCTCGTCATCAAGATCGCCAATGAGTTCGTCAGCGAGGCCGCTGCTGCCGAGGTGGCCGCTGCGGGACTCAACGCCATCCGCGAGATCTGCGTGCGTCAGCACCTGGCCATGAACGAGACCCTGCTGCAGGATCTGGTCCAGTACCGCAGGAGCAAAGACAAGGGCGTCATGATGGCGGCCAACGGCCTCCTCTCGCTCTACCGAGAGGTGGGCGCGGACATGCTGCGAAGGAAGGACAGAGGCAAGGAGGCGACCATGGGCCTCAAGAGTGGTGAGATGCAGCAGAGGAGGTTCGGCGAGGAGGAAGCCGGTGGCATTGAGGGACTGGAGCTCCTGGAGAACTGGAAGGAGGAGGAGAAAAAGCGGAAGCGAGCAGAGAAGGGTCTTCCTGAGGAAGCCGGTGAGGGTGAAGAGGAGGAAGACGAGGAGGACGATGGGTGGGAGGTGGCATCGGCCGAGAGCAGCGACTCGGGTGGCTGGATCGACGTCAGCGCGGACGAGGACGAGGCGCCCCCCAAGCTCAAGCGTGCCAAGACGTCCCACAGCAAAGACGACGAAGAGGACAGCTCGGATGACGAGGACGGCGACAAGTCGGCGGCAGACGCAAAGTCCGAGGCGGAGAGGATATCCAAACTCGCGACGACGACGATCCTGACGCCGGCGGACCTCGCCAAGCTGCAGGAGCTGCGGCTGCAGGCGCAGGTCGACAAGGCCATGGGCGGGCGCTCGAAGCGGCAGCGGGAGCTGGAGGAGCGGCACGCGGACGAGGCGCTCACGGCGGAGCAGATCGAGCTGCCGGGCACGCTGCGCAAGACCACCAAGGAGGAGCGCGTGGCCATGGCCAAGGAGGGCAAGCCGGACCGCGACGAGCACAAGTCGACAAAGGCCATCCGCAAGTCGCAGAAGGACGCGCGCGGCGGCTCGACGACCAACAAGGAGAAGGCGCGCAAGAAGAACTTCCTCATGACGCTCAGCAAGGCCAAGTCCAAGCAGAAGCGCAGCCTGATCGAGACCAAAAAGGTGCTTCGGGGTCACATCGAGAGGAGCAAGGGCGGCGGGCGGAGGAGGAACGGAACCTGATCATGTAGCTCTATCTGGCGGGTCTTTGATCATGTCTATGCGCACCAATGGGATCCGTCTTTATCGAATGCATCAGATCTCTCGAACCGAGTCTATCGTGCTACCAATGTCAAGGCAGAGGGGGCATGCCCGAAATCATCAGCAACCCCCTCCTGCGTGCCGCGCATCAAACGATTCCACCACGGCCATGGCATAAGCCAGCGCGGAGCAGACAATAAGAATGTGCATCAGCTGGTGACTATGGCCAAAGATGTCGAAGCGGCGAGGATACCACCTCTCAGGAACCTATAAAAGCAGCCATGATTTATTTCCATTAGCATATAAAACACACACACACACACACAACAGGAAAAAGAAAACCCTCCACCCCCACCTTGTAGATGTACACAGCCAGCGCCGCGACGTTGCAGCCGGCCGTCACCGCGACCCACCGCAGCCCGACCCGGCGCGCCTGCTCGGCCAGCCCTCCGGGGCTCAGCGCGGCGCCGTGCACCACGGGCGCGACAAAGGACGCCAGGCCAAAGGCGGCGAGCAGCAGCGCGCGCGGCGCCGCGCCCCGGGCGCCGTCGAGCGGCCGCGCGAACATTGCCGCGCTGCACGCCAGCGCCAGGACCGCCGTAGCCATGTGATAAACTGTCCGCCTCGCCGCGTTGCCGTCATCGTGGTGGTAGTGGTGGTGGTGGTGGTGGTTGCCGCAGAGCGGCGGGGGCGGGAACGAGTAGTAGATCAGCGGCACGGTGCTGCCCCACATGAGCAGCAGGCAGCCCTGCACGTCGAGCTTCAGGCCGAGGCGGAAGGCGGCGAGGCCGTGCGGGATGAAAGTGTGGAAGGCGGCCGAGAGGGCGAAGCAGACGGCCACGCCGGCAAAGTAGACGCCGCACGCGGCCGCCTCGCCCGGCGTGGCGGCCGCGTATCGCGGGGGGATCTGGGACGGGGAAAAGATGTAGAGGGGGAGGAGGAGGAAGAGGAGGGAGCCGAGGGTGTGGGAGTGGATGTTGACTTTTGGGGGGGTTGGGTGGGCGGCGTTAGTGGCGGCGGTCGAGGGGAGAGTGAGGGAGGGAGGGAGGGAGGGTATGGCAGCGCACCGCTTTCGTTGTGCAGATAGAACCAGCTCACCAGGCAGTCCCTAACCGTCCCTGGGGCTTGCCTGTTGGTAATCCTGTCAGATCACTAGGGTTCTCGCTCTTGACCAGCCGTGCCTTCGATACCGCCAGCGCGACTTACCTGTACCCCGTGAAGATGAGATTGCCCCCTTGCCTACGAGAAGCCACAAAGACGCTTGGTTAGCCCTTGCACGTCTTGGACAGTCCGAGACCAGATGCAAACTCACTGCCGTTGCCACAGCGCTGGAAGCAGTCATACGGATAAAACACCCAACGTCAGATCTAAATCCAGCAACCACAGCACCGGGGCGGCATCTCGAAGAACCTACGCAGTTCCTCCCACGTCAACAGCCGCCGCTTCCTGGCCGCCGTCTCGACGCCACGCCCCGCTTTCACACCTTGTTCTCCGCACCCGCTGTCCGCCTTCTTCCTCCGCGTCCTAGCCATGAGCGCCACGCGCGCCGCGGCCGACGACGACACACCGCTGCGGGCTCCGGCCATCGCCAGGCCGGCGGGGGCCGGGGCTTCAAGGCCCCGCGTCTCCTCAGACTTCATCGCGAGGGTCGGTGTGGTTGGGTAAGGAGAAGAGACGAACCGACAAAAAAAAAAGACAAATATACGATTCTACAAGTGTCGTATCCTAGGGTGGGCGGTGGCGGAACGGCAGAAGTCGGGAAAATGCATCGTTTCAACCAGCTAAACATGACGACGTCGTGCCAGGACCCCTGTCGCCAACGGCCGGGTGCTGGCCCTGCCGGTTGCGACGTCGTGCAGTGGGATGTCTCCCCTTTTATTCATCCCGTAACAATCACCGCCATTCAGCCTCAACTTGAGTAAAGGGGATAAGTATTTCGTCATTGCATATATACCGCCAAAACGTGTTGCTCGTTGGGAGACCCGACAGGTTCTAAAAGCCATGGAAACATGAGACCGCAAGAGAAGGAAAGAAACAACCAAGAATCAAGCGAGATGGCGTAAAATGTCCTACATAGATATATCAATCCTCCTTGTGATGCTCGCTTCGAAGAGAAAGAGAGAAAATCGCCGCTGAATACCAAAGAAAAATATAACCATGAAAAAAGAAAAGGAGAATCGCCACCATAGGCAAAGATGTGCGATGTACACAATACGAGTTAGTAGTTGCTCTATACCTAGCTGGGAAGTCTCGACTGGTCGAGGGGGGAGAAAACGAGGATTCGAATACGTCGTCATCTCGGGGCCTTGCCGCTCGCACCAAATCCGTGGTTCCGGCCTTGCCCCTCTAGCTCCTGCCCGTCTATCTCATTGTGGCCGCCACCGCCACCGCTCACGTCTCCTCCCCGGCCGCGTCTCCCTGCTGTTGCCGCTTCCTTCTTTCTCTGCTTCTGCTCTAGCTCCTGCATGATAATAGTGTCGTTCGGGAAGTAGATGCGCCTGATGCTCTTGACGGCTAGCTCTAGGACCACGACGGCGGCGAGCGCCCCGATAACAGAGAGCCACCAGACCGCGGTGCGGCCAAAGCCGTGAATGAAGGAACCCTTGACAATGTACGGGCCGATGCTTTCCGTATATACGCCCGCGAGGACCAGGTTCCACAGCCACCAGCCCGTCACGGTGATGAGGAAGCCGCCAAAGACTATAATGGTCTTGTTGTGCAGTTCTATCAGGCTGTGGTTGTTGAACTCTGTCAGTTGGGCTCACTCACACAGGCACCGAGATAGAGACAAAGACTTACAGCATCTTGATGTTGATAAAGATGACGCAAACCGAAAAGGCAACGTTGCCAATGGAGAAGATGGTTGTATCCTCGTTCGAATAGGCGACATTGTAGGCGCCCCAGACGGCAAACGAGATGACAAAGGCCTCTGCGGTGCCCAGAACCATCCAGCCCACGTACTTGACAAAGTTGAGGCCCTTGTCCCGCTGCCCATACGTGTACAGCTCCGGGATGGCGAGTAGCGTCTCGGCCGACAAATCCTTCTCGAATATTCCCATCAGCACGACGGCGAGCGACGTGAAGAGAGCGTTGAAGACGGTCAGACTAGCCGACTCGAAAAAGGACGTGCCCGTGTAGCCGTTGTAGCGCTGGTACAGAGCCTGGTTAAGGTAAAACACGATCTCCTTCCAGAAGGTGCCCAGAATGTACTTGCTCGTCCGCACGTAATTCCAGCGACCGTGCACAAACAGCAACCGCTGCAGGAACCGGAACTGTGCGATAGAGTAATCTGATATGCGCGCCGCCTGCAGACCCTCGCGCCCTGATATGCCGATGCCGACGTGCGACGCCAGGATCATGGCGATGTCGTTGGCCCCGTCGCCGATGGCGAGCGTCAGGGACCCTGGCACCTGGTCGCGGATGCACTTGACCACGTTTGCCTTTTGCGCCGGCGACGCCCGGCAGCATATCACGGCGTCAACTCGCGTGAGCAGCAGGTAGAATAGCTTCTTGCAGGCCTCGTCCTGTTCCACCAACGTGAGGGTGAGGCCGTCGATGACCACGACCGAGTGCTGGATGGCGCCCTCGTCCACCTCCTGTAGCACCCCCTCAATCGTGTCCTTGACGTCTCCGTCTGTGGCATCCAGGATAAAGAGATCGGAAAACGCGTGGCAAATCTTTGCAGAATGACCGATGTTGATGGCCGTTTCGCGCTTGTCCCCCGTCAACATCCACACCTTAACGTTGGCGCGTCGCAGCTTGTCGATGGTTTCGGGCACGCCCCTTTGAAGCTTATCTTCGATAGCTGTAATGCCCGCAAGCTCGAGGTCCGCCTCTATCCTGCTGGCGACCTCGTCTATCCTGGCCTGTCGGTCCGTGAGGCTGGTTTCCGCCTCGAGGTATTCGCGCTTCCAGCTCCTGTAGTCGGCCTCGTCGACGTACCGGTACGAAAATAGCAGGGTGCGCAGGCCATCAGACGCAAAGTCCTCGATGTGCCGGAAGCATGCCTCGAATATGTCAGCATCCGGGAGCATGGGCACGTCGTGGCCAGCACCTCTACGCCCGCCGGCAGGTGACATGGTGGGGCTCTCGGGGTCGTGCGGGCTCTTCAACGACTCCATTCGCATGCTCCGGCGTTTGCTCGTCCGGCGCGAGACCGAGTCGGCTACCCTTTCTGCGAGCTTTTTCAGCCTTAAACGCGGCAGGAGGGCGCTGTCAGCACCTTTGCTGAGCAGTAGAATCTTGTTGTCCGGAGTCCTCAGGATGATGGTCATCCTCTTTCGATCACTCGTAAATTCGATAACGTCCAGTATCCCGTAGACTTCGGTCCTGACCTTGCCGTCCGCCCCTTCACGGTTGAGCTTGATGTTCTCGCTGTCTCGATCCACTATAACGTACCCAAGCTCCCGTGCGGCGTTGACGAGGGCGAGCTCATCAGGGGAGGCTGCCTGGAACTCAATATCACCGTTGTCCTTCACCTCGGGAAGACAAGTGTTGCAGAGCGCCGTGCAGAGGACGAAATGCAGCGCCCGTTCCGAGAGCGGCGAGTTTGGACTGCCCTTTAAGTGCTCTAGCAAATCCCGGGTCCGCAACTCGCCATCTGGAGCCTCATCGGTGACGCCCATGTCGTGGTGCCACACATAGCCACCGGCGCTCATCTTCTGAAAGCGCATGATATTCTCCGTCAACGTCCCGGTCTTGTCCGAAAATACGTAGCTGACCTGGCCCAGATTCTCGAGGATGCTGGTCGTGTTGGCCACAATGGGCGTGTTGGTTTCGGGGTCGTACATCTCCACGTCCTGAATCATCCAGAACTGGCCGATCTTGACGATTTCCAGGCTCACGTAGAGCGAGATGGGTATAAGAGTGTTGAGCAGAATGATGACGCCAAAGATTTGCTCTGTTGTTTTGAGGCGCGCGCCAAACATGTACCAGGCCGTGCTCCCATAGCTGGCCTCGAACATATCGTTTCCGATCTTAATCCCGACCGCGAGCATGATGAGTACGAAGACGACGAAAAAGATGATGCGGTTCGTGATGGCCTGCATGGCCGGGTTCTTAGCGCGCGATCCCTTGTTGGCGTTCATCCTGATCTTGCACTCCTCGCCCGAGTTGATGACGAGGCCGTACGCCTCCTTGGTGTTGCGCATGGTGGACCCCCGAAAGACGACCTGGTTCATGGTGAGGGGCACCGTCTCGTCACCGACAGTGACGCGGCCGTCGAACGAGTAGATGTCGAGGTTGGGGTCTTCCGAGACCACGACAGCGTCGCACGACGCGATGTCGGCAACAGTGCCACAGCGCTTGGCTAGAAGCGGGCAGGCCTGCTTGCTCTTGAGGCTGGTCTCGCCGTCGAGGGCCATGGTGTCGATGTAGGCGATGCCGCTGGGGCCCGTGGCCGAGAGCAGCACCATGTCAGCGGGCACCTGCTTATCCCTCGCAAGACGGACGATGTCGCCGACGCGGACGTCCTGCCACTGCACTCGTGTCCAGGCGTCGTCCAGGCTGCCTGAACGGCGGCCCATCTGGCGCAGCTCGGTGCCGTTGCCCGCCTCGTCGTCGAGGCGCTCGCGCTTCTTCTGGCCCTTGCCGCTGGTGCGCGGCTTCTTGGACTTGGACATGGCCTTCTTGGCGACGCCGTCAGGGTCGTAGACCCAGGCATCGCTCCTGTTCTCTACCTTATCTAACCGATACCTCCGATAGTCGTCATAGCCCTCCTTGGCTATACTGAAGCTGACAAAGACGATAAGTGGGGCGCCCGTGGTGTAGCTCGCGACGGGGCTGAGCCCGGGGATCATCTGCAGGATGGCGATGATGAGGAAGTAGAAGTTTGCAATCTTCATGAACTGAAAAACCAGCTGGCGCGGCACGAAGTCCCACAGCGTGTAGCGGTTGGACCGGATGAAGTTGGAGACGTAGGGCTTGCCGGTGCGCTGGTCCCGCAGCTCGACGTCCTGCCAGCGGGCGCCGAGCGGGATGTGCCGGCCATCGCTGCTAGGCGGCACCTGGCGGCGGAAGCTGGGGAGAGAGGCTGAGAACTTGGCCGCGCCGGCCGAGACCGTGTTCCGCCAGGCTGCGGCAAGGCTCTCCGAGCAGCGCTCGATGCCGTCCGACAGCTGTAGCCGCTTCCGGCGACGGTGCGCCGGCAGGATTCCTGTCCCCCCCTCGATGGCCTCGAGCGGCGGCGCCATGGCGACGTGAGCCCGCCGCTAGTTGCGGTGCAGTCTAAGTCGCTTGGCAGAGGAGTGGGTGAGGGACTCTCGGTTGGTCAGGAGCCGGTCCTTGTTGGGATGGATACCGCGCTCCGGCCCAAAGCCAGTGTCATCTCAGGCGCGCAGAGACAGGCCACATTGGTGTTTACGCCCGCGGAGAGCAGACGATGGCTACGCGACCTTTTTGCAGCTCTGTCCAGGCCTGTCGGCGGCGTCGAGGAGGGCCAGGGAGCGATCAGTGAGCGCCTGGGAAGCAGTGGATCCTGGTGTGGAGAGGCCCAGGAAATGCCCTTGGCGTTTCCGTCCAATATACGTTTTCCGGGTAGCAACCCCCTGGAGCGCACAAGGTCCCTGGCACTTCTACGCTCGGGCTGCGACCGGGGTGCCCCTAGCTGCAGCCTCGGTCTGGTTGGCGTCTTGCCGACAGTAACAGCAGGCTGCCCGCAGTTGGGACGACGCGCGGTTGACGGATGGAGCGGATGTGATGTGACGAGTCGAGGCCGGGCGATAGGTAGGCAAGGTAAGGACGTAAGTGCCTCGCGTGCAGGCGTGTGCTCGACAGCACTAGGCTCAAAATAAAAATAAAAAAAGGCGGCAAGCGACGTGCAAAGGGTCTGGTTGTACCATTCAAAAAACGGTTAGAGTGAGGGGAAAGGGAAGAAGAGTCCACGTTCTCATCTCCATTTCCTTGCCAGAATCCAGAATCTCTCGTAACAGTGCCGAGCAGTCCGTGCAAACTGGGAGAGGCGCAGTCGCGACCCCGCCCGAGTCCGTTCCTTCCCTGACGCGGGGTGGGAATCGTTACCACCGCTGACGGTGTACACAGTAGCCGCCAGCGCAGCGTGCGTGCTAACGATGGGTGGTGGCCCGGGTGTGCGACCCCTAGCCTCGAGCCCATTGATCTCAGCCAAGTGGTGTGGTTGTTTCGCTACGTTTCCAGTTGTCCGCCCGTGCATGCCGTCGCCTTCCAGACCCGTGGGCCAAGCTGTGCAACATGATTCGACGGCCAACCCTCGTCCATTGACACCCCCTTTTCCAACGCACCCGCAGCATCGCCCAGCCACCCGAGCCACTCCAAAGGGCCTCGAACCGACGCCCAACCGAGGCGAGACTAGCGTCACCCACTCAATCCAAGCGCCTGTGCGCCTTTCAATGCCCACAACCTAATCGGCGATGCACGCAAAAGCTATTCACTCTTCGCCATCGACGAAGACGATACCCGCCACCGCGCTTGGAGCAAGGACGCGCAACATCAACACCATCATGTTGAGGTGAGCATTTCGCTGGTGCTGACTCGATTTACACTGCCCCCCACGCCTGTCAGCCCAACCAGATTTAGTCTCGGCAATCTACACAACGTCAATACCATGTCGCCGCGACCCCAGCGGAGAGAACTCATTCCAGGGTGCTCCTTGCACGCAATTATGTTGTAGGCTATACGCCCGGGCGGTTATGGTTATGCATATGTGCCAGATTCTGGGAGTGAACCTCATCATCTTCTAGTCGGGCAAGCTACGTTATTCTCGGCTTCACCTCTTGCACAGGCAAACAACCGCACCGCTTGGGAATTTCCACCCGGACCAGTATCCATATCATGCTCAAGCTTCACTCGCTTCTCAAGCCTTGCGCCCGAGCTCAGGGCGGAGATTTGGCATCACGCCATCGCAGCCTACGTCCAGGATTTGATCGACAGCCTCCCACCAAGGTTCCACGAGTATGATGCCGACACACAGGGCTACGAAGACCTGGTCGACTGTTTTCCCATCTTGGCCGCCTGCCGTGAGGCCCGCAAGCTGGCGATCCGCTACTTCCAGCGCCCGAGGACGTCCGACGGGGAGCGGCCGCTGCGCTACAGGTACATCCCAACCTGGCTGCGCCGCTCGAGAAGGTCGAGGAAGGATCCGGTTCCATCCTGATATCTGAACTGCCGCTGCCGCCACCGCCAGACAGCAGCATCAGCGACGTTGGAGAGGATGATGGGCAGCAGCACTCGGCGCCGGTGGTCCTGGATATCTCAGGCGGCCTGTTCCACTCCCCTCAGCAACTTGTAAACGTGGTTTCCCGCTACTTCGGCGGCCGCGGGACGCTTGACCGCACGGTGCTCAACTTCCGGACGACGGTCACCTTCGTCTCGGGACTGGGCAAATCTGCATACTGGCCTTCCACGTCTCCGTGACCCGACTTTGGGGATGAGGGCCAGTTTACCCACGAGGGCTTAGTGTCTGAGAAGCAATAGTAAGACGTGCTGGTTCTCTTCCCCTCCAGTTCCCCCTGCTTTTTTTCTTCTTTTCTTCCGACGCCAACTTAGCTCGGGCGGGTATACTGATATACCATGGTAATAAAACAGTCACCTCATGTTGGAAAAATACAAACCCATCTTTGATAAATCGATACTGGATCGTGTGCGCCCCCAGCCAGGGGCATACCCGGTCATGTCCATCTCGAAAGGTCGGAGTTTGCGCCTAGGAGACGAGGAATGGGGCTTTGAGGCACCATTTGACCTTGCGATGCAGCTTTTGAGGGTTATGGACTTAGTTGATGTCTCGAGGGAAAAGCTTCCTGGACTCAAGCGCATCGACGTGAACTGCGAGAACCACCGAGAGCCCATTGGCCAATGGGAAGCGGCAGATTATGAAGACGACGACGGCGTGGTCAGGATGCCGCCCGGCATTACAGAGCTCGAGTTCCTGCTGGAGGAAGATGGGCTCTTCGGTTAGGCCATCTTTTGCACCGCGGACTAGGGGGCCGGAGAACACAAAGAGAAGATAGAAGAACCAAATCTTCAGATAGGGATGTATAATAGCGGGGGAATTCTCATCAACAAACACCGCGCTGCAGGCTGTCGGGCCAGATGGGAAAGACGACAGGATGGCTAGAGCGATCGGATGGTTGAAGTGACATGGCACGGAGGGAGTGCATGAATTCGGCCGAGCTCATGGACTATTCGGGAGTCCTGATGTCAAAACTAGGACCCAAGGCTTTGAGTAAAACACATCGGGGGAGGACAGAGGCGCTGTACGATAAATGTTTCTTGCTCTGTGCGCCGTGGATGCTTGATCATGCTATATAGGCAGTTCACTGGGGGGACGAAAACTGTGCCTCGGGCACGCCACTCGATTCATCAGGTCGGGCAAAAGGGCTATTTCGAGGAGGGAGGGTTATTGATAAAAGAAACTAACGCGGCAGTATCGAGAGTGGCTATGCCAGTACAGCGCCTCACTGTTTCGCCTCGCCATTTGGTTACTGCTCTGGCCCCCAATTCCTTTCCATCTATCCATCCGGCCCCCACGAGTCTTTCTAGGAGTGAGTAGACACGACCCCAAACACTCTGCTCGGTGTGGCCCTACGTCTTGGTTTTACCACTATAGCCCCAGGCCCAACCTACGCCTTCCGGTCCACAGCCGCGCCGGCCGCCTGCAAGTGGGGCCTGTACGGGCTCCGCTCCGGAATCTCACGCGGCACGCCGTCCGGAGACGGCGACCGGGCGCGGGTCCGCGCCCAGACGTAGGGGTCGGGACCCCCGCGGAGCAGCTCCCCCGTCGTGGGGTCCCGGGGCGGGGCGGGCTCCTGCCGCGCGAGGACGGCCGCGGGCAGGTCCGTCATTGGGATGGGCGCGCTGATGTGCGGGCGGCGGCGGTCGCCGGGGCCGCGCTTCCTGTAGTAGCAAAAGAGGGCGAGCAGCAGGACGAAGACGATGGCTACGACTCCGCCAATGGCGCCGGCGAGGGCTCCGAGGTGAATACCACCGCCACCGCCGCCGTTGTTGTTGTTGTCAGAGCTGCTGGGGACGGTCGAGAGCGGCACTACATCGCTTGTGGTGGCTTTTGAAGATGAAGTGGAGGCAGTGACGGTGATTTCAGCATCTACGACGAACTGGGGACGGTCATTGATGGAGACGATGGAGGTGCTGGTCATGCAGCGCAGCATGGAGCGCGGCGTCGACTCGACCCAGAGGAATGTGCCGCAGGCTGGGTAGTCGCTGAAGGAGCTGCGATTCACGTTTTGTCTTTGTCAGCCAGAAAGACTGCCGTCAGCCTACCTCGCCACACTCACCAGCAGCCGGTGAGGGCACCAAGGCTGGAACACCTCCCCGAGCGCTGAGCTTCGTAGTCATAGCAGATGGCAAACGAGGGGAAGTAGTTGGTCGTAGTGCATCCCACCACGTAGTTCGTGTCGGTCGAGCATGTCCACCCATCGTCGCAGGTAAAGGGAGAGGCTAGATCGTGCGTGTTGGATTAGCCGGTGCCAGTCGGCGAGACGGGGACAATGACTTACACGGGTGGCCCGTGAACCAGCCGCATGTTTTCGAGTTCAGCCACGAGTTGGTTCCGGTACTTTGGCTCAGGCGAATTTCGCTCAGAATACCTAGGGGCTTAGTAGTGGATGGAGCTGTGGTCGTCGGCGCCCACCTATCGATGCGATTCGGGTTGGGGTGGCCGGTTTCAAGCGGGCGGCTGTCGAGGTACTGCTGATTCCCCCGGGGCCGGGCCAGAAGCGCCGCAGTTGAGATACGAGCTAGGAGGGCCCAGGATAGAAGGGGTGGCATCATACCGGCTGCGCCTATCCTGGGACTATTTTCACCCAATATTGTGCTGGTCGGATGGGATTTCCGGTCTCTTCTGATCGCCGACAGGGTGCCGACCTAAGGGTTATCCCCCCACCATTTTGGGGCGCGGCGCAGACGGAAGACATTGCAAGATGGGCTCTCTTATATTCGGGACTGCCAATGACTTGCCCCGAGTGGCTCGCTCATGGTGATAGAGCGTGAAGGGATCCATCTCAGGGCAGTCACTTAGACCAAGACGTTTGCGCTCCGTGAGGGTTAGGGTCTGACGCACCCCATCTGTGACGTTGGCTCCAATTCCCCGCTTCAGGGTCACGGGTCCACTGTAAGTTCAGCCGCAGTGGGGCACCGCGTGCTATATGTATAAGAGCAGTCCAGACCACGCGCGGAAGCAAGCACGGGACGGATAGGTTCCACCAACCTCCATTCAAGTGCCTTGGCCCGAAGCCGTCGCGTTCAGCAACGAGAGGGTTGACTCACTAGTCGAGACCACGATCCCGCAATGGCTGGTGGCCTCCCGACATCATGTGTGGCCACACGGGGTGCTCAATCTTCGACAGCAGCGCCCGACTGACCTCGTAACTTTGCTCCGCTTACAGGCCCGAGCCTTGGCTTGACCGGAAAGATAAACGTGTCAAACTCGTGCCAGACAGTATACAAGTGGCTTGGCAGAGGCGCTAGTTGCCTCCCTATGGGCTCCAGCTGGGCAACCTTGCTCACTGTATATACATAACGTCCCTCGTGATGTGTGTGGTGTCGGATTGCATTTATCTGCTTTGGTCCGCAGCCCAGCCAACATGGACATCGCGCGCTTTAATAAAACCGAACTCTCTGGAAACCTAATCAACGACATCGATATCTGCACACCCGCAGCCTATCCCCTAGCTACTGCATAATGACCACCCCCGCCCCCACCACCACAAAGGCGTGGACCTTCACCAAGCCGGGCGAGCCCTCGGCGGTGCTCGCCCTTGACAACGCCTACCCAATGCCCGCCTTCCCGCCGCAGCCGCCGGTGCCCAAAGCGGTCGAGCGCCTCCTGGCCGAGGAGTGGGTTCTCGTGCGCGTCGCCTACGCGGCGCTCAACCACGGCACGTCCTTCTACCTCCGCATGCTCCCAGCCTGGGCCCGCAAGCGCGGCCCCGTCGTGCCCGAGCTGGACTTTTCCGGCGTCGTCGAGGACGTCTGGGACCCCAACCCCAACCTCGACCCCAACACCCACAGCCAGCGGCCGCGCCTCGCCAAGGGGGACGCCGTCTGCGGCTTCATCCCCGTCTCGTTCGCCTGGCCCACGGGCACGGGCGCCCTGCAGGGCCACGTCGCCATCCCGGCCCGGTTCGCCGTCAGGGCCCCCGAGGGGGTGCCGCTGCGCGAGGCCGCGGGCCTGATGGTGGCGGCGTGCACGGCGCTGCAGGTCGTCGAGGCCGCGGGGCTGCGGCGCGGCGGGCGCGTGCTCGTCAACGCGGCCAGCGGCGGCATCGGCCCGATGGCGCTGCAGATGGCGCGCCGGCGGGTCGGGCCCGAGGGGTTCGTGGTCGGCGTGTGCTCGGGGAAGAACGCGGAGCTCGTCAGGAGCATGGGTGCTGACGAGGTACGTTTTTTTTTGTTTTTTTTCTTCTTTTGTTTCCGTCGTTGCCGGTCTACTCTTCGCATCCACGCCATCTTGTGTCACTCATAATCAAAACATCACAGGTCATCGACTACCAACAGCACCAACCCCTCGCCCCCGAGCTCAAGCGCCGCTACGGCTCAGGCCCGTTCGACGCCGCGCTCGACTGCATCGGCCTGCAGCAGCTCTACGTCGCGAGCGCGGGCTTCCTGACCCCGGAGGGCGTCTACAGCGCCGTCGGGCTCGTCATCCCGGCCTGGACGCTGCGGCACATGGCGTCGTGCATTGTGTCCATGCAGCTGAATGCCCTCTGGCCGCGGTCGCCGTGGCTCGGCGGCACGGGCCGCGCCTGGTGCTGCGCGGCCATGATGGACGCGGAGCCCGAGACCATGCGGCGTGTGGCCGACATGGCGGCCGCCGGGGAGCTCCGCGCCGTGGTCGACGGCGGGCGCGAGTGGGCGTTCGAGGACGTGCCCGCGGCGCTGGCGAGGCTCGAGAGCAGGCGCGCGGCGGGCAAGGTCGTCGTCAGGGTGGGGGATCTCTGAGTAGCGGGGGGAGGAGTTTAGTGTGTAGGTACCTAGTAGGTTTGTGGGGCGTAGAGAAGAGGAGACGGCCTCGTTGTGTGCCATCCACTTGGAAGGTTCCTGGCTCTCCTCCAATCACCCAAAGGAGCCGCGTCGATCGTCCTATCCTCGCATCTCTAGCGAAGTGGCTTGTTTGCCACGACGACTCGAGGTTGTCGCTACCAAATCTCGGCTGAAACTTGGCGTGTTATGCGCACTCAATAAAATTATACCGTTTTTTTCGTACATCATCGCAAGCCTGTAGAATACAAAAATCGCCCGATAACAGCTTAAACCCCGGGGCTACGTTATCGGCTCGGCCAGGGAGACCTCCCAGGCTTAAGCCTCGGATAGGACCGAGCCCAAGGCAAACATGCAGTAGTCGGGCTCCTCGAGCTCCATGTCCGGTGGCACTATATGTATCCTACATCTTCACGGTCGAGTCAAGAGACCGAGATGAGCGACGAGAGTTTTTGCCGAGCCTTGACGGAGCCTCTGCTTGCATGGGTCTATGACCGGTCGGGGTTTTGGGCATCCGACACTCCGAGCTTACACCCCGAGCTTACACTCCGTCCTTCCTATACCTCACAAAGCCCGATCCGCCGCGTCGGCTATCGTCATGCGTATTAGCTAAGCTTCATTTAACGCTCCCACCGAGCCCTAGAACCTCTCTTAGAGGGGGAATACATCCAATCGTCCTATTCATCCCCCTTCTATTTACGAGAACGAGACACGGGTTAGATTATCCCGCAACCGGGTCGTGGGTATCGCGAGAGCAAATTCTTGGCTACCATGAGAGAGGTGTTCTGAGCGCCAGGAGGTGGACGCCATCTATGTGGTGGGGAAGATGTTAACGGTACAACCCAACAATGACAAGAAAAAAAGCAAAACAAAAAACTGCCACAGCCGGTGCTTGCCCAGGTCGTACACACTGCCAGCGCTCGACGCCAGACAGTCCTTCACAAAAGACATCGTCGCCTGAAATCCATCCTCTGCTTTCCCTTCTTTTTTCGCCTGTTTTTTTTGGGTGAGGTGGGTACTATTATTACCATGAGACGAACCTCTCCTCTACCAGTGAGGGCAGGAAAGGCGGGCGATCTTCCGGAAAATTGGCGTGTCCCCTAATAACCAGCTCCGCCATCTTTCCACTCAGCACCCAGGCCAAAGAGTCCGACTAGGCCCGGGGGCATCTGATTCGTACCCTGTCCATTGGGCATATTCATGCCCATTGGATTGCCATTAGTAACCCCGAAGGCCGGGGTTGCTGTTGCGCCGAGGCCTACGTTGGAGAAGATATCCCAGTCTCCGCCTTCGACGTAGGTGCCGTCGACGTAGGTGCCCATGAAATCGTCAAATATGGGATCGTTCTCGTTGAGTTTGACCTTGACGCTTCCTCCCAAATCCGTCCGGCTGTTGATGGACGGGCTCTCAACCTTGGTTTGTGGCACATCCTCCCTCAGCCGCTCGATGAATGCCGGTGTTGGGAGGGGCAGGCCAACTTGTTGCATGAAGTGCTCCTCCCTTACGTTCCATGCCTTGACCAGGTACGCTGCCAATGTCATATGCGACTTGCTTGAGTTGGGGTCGAAGAGGCTGGGGTGAAGGGGCTCGAATGCCTCCAGATACTCCCACGCCTTATCTGACAGTGCGCCATCGGGACGGTGACATAGCTGGCCGGCGAGGAAGATGAAGAGCTCCTCGTGAAGCTGGAGGCGTATATACCAAAGAAACCCCGTTTTGAGGGCGGTGCGGTGGTGGCGCACGTGATGCTCCAGTCCTTCCACCGCGAGGCGGAAAACGTTGTCCTTGGGAGAATTGCCCCAGTTGGGTTTGTTATCATTGTTATCGGGTGCAACCAGCGTTCGGACTTTGCCCAATATGATGGTCACGAATTCGAGTGTGAAGACATGTATCGGGCCCGCCGAAACGTCACATTGGTGTTCAGCGATGTCAGCGATATCTTGCGCCGCCACAGCGAGCATGGCGCGGTACTCTTCCAGCTTCTCCTTGCTAGGGCTCTCGGGAGAGTTGCGAGAGCTGGGGTCGAAGAGAAAAGATGGGTCAAGTCCCGGGGTTTCGACGAGGAAGCGCGTGAGCCTGTTCTGGATCAGGGAGAACACCATCTCGGTCGGGCTGTCGCGGTCTGGGGGTAGCTCGGTGGCCGAGGCGTATAGATCTGCGTCGTTGAGGTTTCTGGGCTCTTTGGTGTCCCACACTCGCGGTAGCAGTGCGTGCCCCAGCCCAGACATGAAGGCAAATCTGCCATCCAACGCCACGATCTGCCACCACATCCGGCGCCTCATCTCGACGTCGAACGGGCTGAGGCCGAACGATGTGCCATCTCGATGGAGGCCCATCTTCTGAGCGATGCGAACCGCCACTCCATGGAGAATCCAGGTAGCATGCTGGTTGTACCTGCCTTGGATCGAAACCTGTTGCGTCATGTCCAACCCAGTTAGCATGAGCCGGAATTCACAAGACCAGGTTGCCCAAACTCACCAGATAAAGCACGAAGGCTTGTAGCGTAGTAAACTCATGGTTCTTGAGGAACTTGGCTTGGTTCAGACATGTCCGAACGCCGTTAGAGAAGCGCTGTATGGCGACGTCCCGGCAGCAGCCCAACAATGTCTGGCATTCCTCTTCTGAGAGCGCCACAGCTCCCATGTTGTATATAGCAAAGAGCAGCGCTTCGACATTCTTTGGGAGCGGATGGTCGGCGGAACGGTTCGTGGCATCGATCAGGTATGGCTGCACCGTCGGGATGTGGATGACCTTGAAGAGGGGGTTCACACGGTCCAGGAACACCTGCCAGAGGCGGAACATCTGGCCCGCGTCTGGATGCAGGTCAAACGTGGAGGGCGGGCTTTGCGGGGTTTCTCCGCCCATGAGCAGGTCTGCGCCGTTCGTGTCAGGAGTCGGGCCTTCCGAAAGATCATCATCGAGCGAGGGTTCATCGTCGTCAATGATGGTGCGCATGGCTCGGAGCTCGTCGTAGATGGTGAACACGACGTAGGAGTCGATAAATCGGGTGCTGCCGCCCTCCTGCTTGATCAGTTTGCCATGCTTGTGCCAGTTCGGCATGGGCTCCTCGCTCGGCTTCGGAGTGTGCTGTGGGCTCGTGCTAGAGTGGGTAGGCGTCGAGGGAATGTCTTCGCTCTTGCCCTCCGAGGCGTACTCTCGAAGAAGCTCCTCGCAGCGCGCAAGCCTCTCCTGGAGATCCTGGTTGGGACGCCTCCTCTTGCGAGGGGGCGCTGGCGTGCTGGGAGTACATTGCACATTGGCCTGGATGGTGTTGGATCGTCAACGTCCGCGGGGCACGGGGAGAAGCACAGGCGAGCGCTCATACCTTTAAGCAGTTTGCGCAGGGAAACGAGCGATCACATTTGATTTTGCGGTGCTGTTGGCCATGCCGTCGAGCATTTTGTTAGCAGCCCGTTACTCAACCACGCCGCCCCTACCAGGGGCCACATCCAACAAAGGCGCGGGGTAGAAACGCGCACCTGGCAAAGAACGCAGGCAAGAATTCGGGGTGATTTGTTCGCGGCCAGTGCGTTGGGAGCGGCAGAGGCCATGGTGGCGGCAGTCCTCTCTGGCTGGACGTGGCCAACTTTGGAGGACAGCAGCACGACCTTGCCTTGTTGGGGGCAGATTCCACAGGGATTCCCCGCCGTGCGCCGTAGAAGTCGGTGGAAACACTTGGCTGGCACGAGCGAAACCGAATGGACACGGGCAGTCAGGACGATGGGTGGGAGTTGCGACAGACAATAAGTGGGCGGTGGAAGGGAGTATGGCACAAAGGCTGAGGGAGGGGAGCGATGGAGAATAAACGAGGCAGTAAAACGGTCAACGGCTGGGCGCAATGTCAGCAAATCCCGCCCCTATTATGATTCAAGCTGTTGGATCAAGCAGGCTCCGAGGGCAGTGGCATAGAGGTGCCCGGGTGGGAGGTGCCCGGGTGGGAGGTGGTGCGCTGCAAAGGGACAGCCCGAGCAGCCTCAGGCGGTGGGTCTGCAAAGTAAGGAAGCGGGTCAGGAACCCCGACCCAGCGAGCTGCAGGGCGGGCGCCCACTGTGCTGCTATGACGGTTCAATGAGCCCTGCTGACATTTGGTAAGTGACGCCGGCGCAAGCTTGGGCCTAGCGGGGCAAATTTATCGTGGCAGCGAGGAAATAAAACAAAAGTTTGAAACAATGGAAACCCCTCAATCGGATCCCGCACCAGAACATGGAGAGAAACACGTAGACTACGGGGTACCAACAGGGAGACTAACAGGCAGATTGGTTAGCCCATATCTGGGCACCGCCTCCAGCGCTTAGCTAGGTAATAAATGACCAAAGGACAGCATAGCTGGCTACTTCGTAATGTGGCAGCTTGGTTGCGAGTCCGGTAGCTGGTGACTCCAACGGCACTTACCCATCCATGCACATACATGCCAGTCACGAGTCCTGCAGAGACAAAGATGCGATCTGCGTTCCGTCTGCTCTTATCCCCGATCTTCACAGGGACAGGGTGACAGGGTCGTGCATGATAAGACGGTGCATGCCAAGGGTATGATCGTTACGAGATTCCGGGAATACTACTCAAGAGCCGGGTGGAAGTTGAAGGCTTACCCACCCACCGTAAGCCGGCGGAACACCGCCCGGTTTTGCACGTGCTGGTGCTGCAGTCGACGGGCAATTACTGATGCGGGCCACCTCCACAGGCGAGCACGTACAGGGTGTTATCTCTCGTTTTGCCTTCAGAAGACTTTGCCTGCTTGTTTTTAGACATGCCCCTGGTTGCGCCATTCGCCCCCTCCATACTCTTCAGCATGCACGTCGCATCATCCTCCCATGTTGCCCAAATGAAAGTGGGATGGTGGATTCTGTCAACTAATATTGGTGGTGGGAGTTCTTGATGGAGACTCAATCGCGGTCTCGCTGATTATTTGGACAGCCTGCCGCTTTTCGCCCAGCATACCAGACAGAGTTGGGCGCCGAAGCCCCCGGAGAGTAGCACGCCACTCACGCTGCCTCCGGAGAGCAGTAATACGCTCTACTGTCGGTTAGAATGTGATGAGATAGGGACTAGGCAGTGAGCTGGATCTGAACCTACGGACAGGAGTCTGTGACTTCTTGATTGCAGCGAGGAGCATTTTCCTCCAGCTCCTCCTGGTTTTCTTGCTAGCGCCGTTGACGCCTTCTTCGGCGACTTTGCCGGTGTCGACGCTCTTTTTGGCCGTTTCGCCGGCTGGTCCGGGCGGCGCTTTCGTTGCGGTAGCTGGCATGGTGGGAGGTACTTGATGGGATGACGGGGGCAGTTATAGCCAAAGGCTTTAACGCGGCGGATGGTCCATGGGTATATGGGAAGTGGTAAGCGTAGAGGTGAGTTGTCAAAGAGATGATTCCTGCCGTGGCTCATAGGGAAACGAGGTTGTAACTGAGAGAGGAATTTCCGTTTTGGGAAAGAGCAGAGCGTTGGAGACGGCAACTCGAAGAAGCCCCGCTAGGGCCAATCATGGCGGACGCAATTCTGCTTTGGGCTCGAGGCTGCGCCCCCCACACAAATTTTGCCTGCCGACGTTTTTTGTGTCGCGATGCTACCTACCCACCTCGACTGGCGAATCGCTTCTCTCATGCCCAGACAGTTGAGCTCGACAATCTGAGCGCGACAAGGCTAGGCTTGCGGTGCTGGCGCGCGCTTTCTCCTGTCGTATGGTGATGCCAATTGGGCCCGCAGCACACCCGTGGCCGTCCAAAATTTACCATAAACGACTTGGCCATGTTGCCCGCAGTATGTGTGTTCCAGTGCGCTCCGACTTCGGCCTGCCCCCTGAAATTGCTTGCCCACCCCCATTCCTCGACGCCTCAACTGATATGGTCATGGTACACCCCAGAGACGGGTTTTGGCCCTCGTCGCGGCGAGGAGCTGTCGCCAGCTGGCGCTTCCTCGGCCCGCCACGCCCTTCCTCTCACAGACCCGCCTGCTGAGCGCGACGCCACGGCGCCGCCAAAATGCCTTCCACTCGCAGCTCCAGGACTCGACCTCGCCCGCCGTCCCGATCCCCCAGGCCGCACCACAGACCCCGCAGACCTTGACGGAGAAGATCGTGCAGCGATACTCCGTCGGGCTCGCGCCCGGCAAGAAGGTCAGGTCGGGCGACTACGTCACGCTTTCGCCGCACCACTGCATGACCCACGACAACTCGTGGCCCGTCGCCCTCAAGTTCATGTCCATCGGCGCCTCCGAGATCCACAACAACAGGCAGGTCGTCATGACGCTTGACCACGACGTCCAGAACAAGAGCGAGTCCAACCTGAAGAAGTACCGGCAGATCGAGGAGTTCGCCAAGAAGCACGGCGTCGACTTCTACCCCGCAGGCCGCGGTATCGGCCACCAGATCATGGTAGAGGAGGGCTATGCGTGGCCCGGCACTGTGACCGTTGCATCTGACAGCCACAGCAACATGTATGGCGGCGTGGGCTGTCTTGGTCAGTCCGGCCCTGGATTCTGTGCACCAAAGAAAGGATAAGTAGGAACCAGATGCTAACACCACATGACTGCAGGCACCCCCATGGTGCGCACCGATGCCGCCTCCATTTGGGCAACGGGAAAGACTTGGTGGCGTAACTAATGCCCTTCCCTTGTGCCCCTGAGCCACCTTGTCTGCTGGGAGCCAGCCGACTGACGTAGCCCCGCACAGAAATACCCCCTATCGCCAAAGTCACATTAACGGGCATCCTCCCGCCTGGTGTGACGGGGAAGGACGTCATCGTGGCTCTCTGCGGTCTGTTTAACAACGATGAGGTTCTGAACCACGCCATCGAGTTCACCGGGTCCGAACAGACCATACGCAGCATCCCCGTCGACGACCGTCTTGCCATAGCCAACATGACCACCGAGTGGGGCGCCCTGAGCGGCCTGTTCCCTATCGACTCGGTCCTACAGTCATGGCTCCGTGCCAAGGCGACCACGTCGGCTATGCTAGGCAAGGAAGGGGGTAACCGTGGCGTCTTCACACATGAGAAAGTCGAGCAGCTCCTGGAGAATCAGCTTACGGCCGACCCCGGCGCCACATACGCCAAGTCTCTGTACCTCAACCTGTCGACCCTGTCCCCCTTCGTCTCGGGTCCTAACTCGGTCAAGGTGGCGATGCCGCTGAAGGACCTCGAGGCCCAGAACATCAAGCTCAACAAAGCTTACCTCGTGTCGTGCACCAACTCGCGCGCGTCTGACATCGCCGCCGCCGCCCGGGTCTTCAGGGAGGCGTCCAAGGACGGCGTCCCCGCTAAGATCGCCCCGGGCGTGAACTTCTACATGGGTGCCGCGTCCACAGTCGAGCAGGAGGCGGCCGAGACGGCCGGCGACTGGCAGGTGCTGCTGGAGGCTGGCGCTCAGGCTCTGCCGGCGGGTTGCGGGCCGTGCATCGGGCTCGGCACCGGCCTCCTGGAGCCCGGCGAGGTGGGCATCAGCGCCAGCAACCGCAACTTCAAGGGCCGCATGGGCTCGACCGACGCCAAGGCCTACCTCGCGAGCCCCGAGGTCGTGGCCGCCAGTGCGCTTCAGGGCAAGATTGCCGGCCCCGGTTGGTACCAGAAGCCTGAGGGCGTGGAGAAGGTCATCATCGGCGAGGGCAACGGCGACTTCGAGCAAGACAAGGCCCTAAGCATCGAGGATGCGCTGGAGAAGATCCTCGCCGAAGCCGAAAGCCTGATATCAACATCCGAGCCCACCCTCGGCGGTGCTGAGGCTAGCGAGGCGCCGGCGGCGACGAACGACGACGCCCTGACCGAGATCTTGCCCGGCTTCCCCGAGAAGGTGGAGGGCGAGATCGTGTTCTGCGACGCGGACAACATCAACACTGACGGCATCTACCCGGGTAAGTACACGTACCAGGATAACGTGTCGATCGAGAAGATGGCCGAGGTGTGCATGGAGAACTACGACCCGGCCTTCGGCTCGGTCGCGCGCGAGGGCGACGTGCTGGTGGCGGGCTTCAACTTTGGCTGCGGCAGCTCGCGCGAGCAGGCGGCAACGGCGATCCTGGCGCGCCGCATCCCGCTCGTCGTGGCCGGCAGCTTCGGCAACATCTTCAGCCGCAACAGCATCAACAACGCCCTCATGGGCGTCGAAGTGCCGCGCCTAGTCCAGAGGCTGCGCGAGAAGTTTGGCGGCGCTGACAAGGCGCTCACCCACCGCACCGGCTGGACCTTCCTCTGGGACGTCAGGCGGAGCAAGGTCACCGTCACCGAGGGCCCCGGCGGCGAGACGTGGAGTCAAAAGGTCGGCGAGCTGCCGCCCAATGTCCAGGAGATCATCGCCCGCGGCGGCCTCGAGAAGTGGGTCAAGAGTCAGATCAAGGCCTAGACCTGTTATTAACCTCGTCTCAAACATAAAGGATGGTCGTCCAGGCGATCTGGTTTCTGGTATATAGCAGACTTTTTTTTATGGCATAGAGCGTCAAAAGTTGGTTGGCTTTTACCAGGTTGGTATGCTTTTTATTCATATTTGTGACTGGTTTGACGATGACATTTCATCAACGAGAACATCTCCTTCCACAACTGCCAATGTGGTCGGTCTATTCTCCCTAATAGCAAGAGCCCGGCGCTGTGCGGCTTTGACGGCTCGCTTGTGGCGGTTCCCACTGATGTGCGTCTGCCACAGCTCCTCGGTGACCAGGGTGGCCCTGCACACGTCGCAGGTCCTAGCGCCCCACGTCACGCGGCGGCCGTTGACGGCCTCGAGGCTCGCGTGTAGCACATCGGCCGCCGTGTTAGATAGGCTCTCGGGCGCGGGCAGCGCGTCGCCCGCCAGGTACCTCTCCGCCACGGCGCGCGCCTTGTCCGCCACTTCGGCGGCCCAAGCGGTGCCGGTCCCCGCGTCGGTGCTATCCACCAGGAACAGGTGCCCGAGCGCGCCCTCGCCCTGCAGCAGCGGGAGCGTCTTGTACGTGATCCACCGGTTCTGGTGCTTGGCATACCGCCGGGTTGCGCCCTTGACGGCCTCGACGCCCGAGCGTTTGAGCGCATCGAGCCGCGCGGGGCTGGTGGTTTCGTCATCGTCGCCACCTTGCTGCTGCTGCTGCCGGCGTAGGGCGTCTAGGTAGGGCTCCATCTGCGCGAAACCTATGGACTGCCAGATGCCGCTCGTGCGGTCGACATGCCCGCCGGCCGCCACGCGATCGAGGTAGTAGTCGTGCAGCTCGCGCGTCTCGTCAACCAGGCCGCGCTCCAGCATGGCGTCGACGCGGCGGTCCAGCCGGGCGTTGAGCACGTCGCGCCTGGAGTAGACCCAGAAGAGCAAGGTGTTCCAGGGAGCAGCAGCAGCAGCAGCAGCATCACCGGTGCTCCCGGCCTGTTGCTGCTGCTGTTTGGCCTCGTCGCGCCGCCGCTGCTGCTCGGCGTAGATGTCGGACGCGCGGCGGCCCGTGGTCAGGTAGATTTGCAGCGAGCGCCAGATCTTGCGCCGGTCGTTGGGGTGCCAGCGCTCCGCAATGACCGGGTCAACCTCTCGCAGCCGCGCGAGTAGCGTTTCGGTTGGCGCATCCTGTAGAGACGGCTCCTCGTCGCTGAGCTGCGGGTCGCTCTGCTGCTCCTGGTCCCCGCCGACATTGGCCTTCGCCTCGTCGGCCCTGGTGACTAGGCGGTCGTCAAAGAGCAGGCCGTCGGCGTAGTAGTGGGTGCCGCCGACGACGATGGGCAGGCGGCCCCTGCTCCTGATCTCGCGGATGACCCTGTCGGCCTCATGGCGGAACTCGTGCACGGTCCAGGTGGGTTCGTCCAGGCCGATGGTGTCCAGGAGGTGGTGCGGGATCCCGCGCTGCTCCTCGGCCGATATCTTGTTGGTGATGATGGGCAGACCCTTGTACATCTGCATAGCATCCGCGTTTATGACCTCGCCATTGAAGCGGCAGGCAAGCTCTACGGCCAGCTATGAGCAGGGGGCGTAGAAGGAGGGCATTGGTTCTACGTCAGCCCCGCACTCGGTTTGGTTTTTTTTGTTTCCCCTTGAACAGATGGCAGCAGAATAAACAAGAAGGTGGCAGAAGAGGACAACAAGCATACGTCGGATTTGCCCGTCCCAGTGGTGCCTAAAACCATAACCAGCGGCTCTGGGGGAGGAGTGTTTTGCGCCGCCATGCTGGAGTCATAACGCCGCCGCACCAACGAAAAGGTTGGAATCTGGCGCAAGGGAGAAAGGCAGCGCACAGGCAGCGCCCTCAGCAGCATACAGCCCCTCGATGGGTCGCAAGGCTGGGTAGGAAAGTTAGCCGACCGGCTACCGATTGCGAAATAATTTTATCTTGGGATTCGTCAGGGGTTGTGCCGCTGGAAGCTGGGGAAGCCAGCATCAATTGATCCATGCGCAATGGCCCGTCTCCCTTTTTTTTTTCTGGTCGACTCTGAAACCAGAGGTCCAGCACTCCAGCTCCCGCGGCCCACCTTCCCCAAACCCCCCAATCCAATCCCAATTGCGTGGTCACGTGCCGACCCAATCCACTTCCGCAATTTGAACACATCGCAGTTATTGAGATTTCCCGCGTTAGAGCCACATCTGCCAGCAGCGCCGCCTTCTCCTTTCTGCGGCCTTCCTCCTTTCCTTCCTTTCGTCAAGTTAAAAACGCAGACGCGGCCCTCCCTCGCCCGCCCGACGACAGACCGCAACACCCTTCTTCTTCTTTTCTTCAACACCCCTTTAGATGAGCGTTTGGAAATAATTGCCCACCATGAGTTCTCGTAAGTTGCCGCTCTCGCGATGCCGCTAGCCCGCCTTCGCCGCCACGCGCCTCCTCGCTGCCCTCGCCTGCGCCCGCGGCCGCGTGCCTCCGGCGCTGCTGTGTAGGCCGTCTGCCATCCCAGCAGCGTGTGCTGACCCGCGCGATCGCTGCTGCTTCTAGTACGGTTCCTTGACCTCGTCAAGCCCTTCGTGCCGTTCCTCCCCGAGGTCCAGCAGCCCGAGACCAAGATCCCATTCAACCAAAAGTTGATGTGGACTGGCCTCACCCTCCTCATCTTCCTGGTCATGAGCCAGATGCCCCTCTACGGCATTGTGTCCTCGGATACCTCTGATCCGCTATACTGGCTGCGCATGATGCTGGCCAGTAACCGAGGAACGCTAATGGAGCTGGGAATCACGCCCATCATCTCGTCGGGCATGGTCTTCCAGCTCCTGGCCGGCACCCACATGATCGACGTCAACCTCGACCTCAAGTCCGACCGTGAGCTCTACCAGACCGCCCAGAAGCTGTTTGCCTTCATCCTGTCTGCCGGAACCGCTACCGTCTACGTCTTCACCGGCCTCTACGGCCCCCCCTCGGAGCTCGGCGCCGGTATCGTCTTCCTCCTGATCCTCCAGCTCTTCATCGCCGGCATGATGGTCATCCTCCTGGACGAGCTTCTGCAGAAGGGATACGGCCTCGGCAGCGGCATCTCGCTATTCATCGCCACCAACATCTGCGAGTCCATCATGTGGAAGGCCTTCTCCCCTACCAGCATCAACACTGGCCGCGGCCCCGAGTACGAGGGCGCCGTCATTGCGCTGTTCCACCTGCTCATGACGTGGCCCAACAAGCAGCGCGCGCTGCAGGAGGCCTTCTACCGCCAGAACCTGCCCAACATCATGAACCTGCTGGCCACCCTCGTCGTCTTCGCCGCCGTCATCTACCTGCAGGGTCTCCGCGTCGAGATCCCCGTCAAGTCGTCTCGCCAGCGTGGTGCTCGCGGCTCGTACCCCGTCCGCCTATTCTACACCTCCAACATGCCCATCATGCTGCAGAGCGCCCTGTCGTCCAACATCTTTATCATCTCGCAGATGCTGTATTCGCGCTTCTCTGAGAACCTCCTGGTCCGCCTCTTCGGTGTTTGGGAGGCCAAGGATGGTTCGTCTCAGTTGTCGGCCGTCTCGGGTCTGACCTACTACATGTCGCCCCCGATGAACTTCAAGGAGGCTCTCGTTGACCCCATCCACACGGCCCTGTACATCGCCTACATGCTCACTGCCTGCGCCGTCTTCTCCAAGACCTGGATTGAGGTTTCGGGTTCGAGCCCCCGCGATGTTGCCAAGCAGCTCAAGGACCAGGGCCTTGTCATGGCCGGCCATCGCGACCAGAGCATGTACAAGGAGCTGAAGCGCATCATTCCCACCGCTGCCGCCTTTGGCGGTGCCTGCATCGGTGCTCTCTCTGTTGCCAGTGACCTCATGGGTGCTCTCGGCTCCGGCACCGGTACTCTTCTTGCCGTCACGTAAGTTTCACACCAGTGCCTAGATCTCCATCAGATTTGCGTGGTTGATGCGATCCAATACTAATACGCGCCCAATAGCATCATCTACGGATACTTCGAGATCGCTGCCAAGGAGGGAGATATCGCTGGTATGAAGGGCATGGTCATGGGCTAGACGGAACACTCTTCTGCTTTTGAGTGTCAACACTAGACCACATATCTCTCCAAAATGCTGGTTTTAACCAAACTGTAATAATATGCGGGGATATTTTTACAGGGGCGGCCTGCTACGCGTGTCTGGGACGGCATACCTATTGGACAAGTAAAAAGGGGCGCAAAATAGGAATCTTTTGGCTTGCATGTTTAGCAACGGGGCGGATCTCCCCGTCCAAAGGCTAAACTTGAGAAAGAAAAGCTTGGTCTCTTTTTTCTTATTGGGTCTTGCCTTGGTGGGACTGGGAAAAGGACGACGCGCTTGCAGGCAGCACTTGGCAGACAGCAAATGGATGCCGCGGGGCGGTTGTATTGGGATGTGTATGTAGAATCAATGGCGTTGTGGCGATCAATGTAAGGGTTTGTGGGCTTTGCCTGCCTGTCTGTGACTGACTTTTTTTTTTTTTTGGGCTTTTCATGCCCGTATCTGTGACTGGGTTGTCTATAGCTGACTGGCCCGTAGGCTTGTGACTGGCTGGCCTTGCTTTATGGCCGGCTCCCTTCCCCGTGGATACCGGGCTCGGTGCTCGGTCCTTATCACGCCCCACCTTCCTCTCTCGGCTCACCGGTTCCCGACGACCTTCAGTCTCAAGGATGGAGGTTCCGGCGGCTATAGAAAAGAGGCTAACAAGCCCCGCCGGTCCTGCCTGGTCTCGACCTGGCTTGCCTAGTCCGTGACCCGTGGCGCTTCCAGGGCGGTCGGGCCAGTCAGCTATAAAAAAAAAAAAAAAAAAAAAAGCGACTTGAGGCACAAGCGGTACATGAGACCGCGCCAATGAGCAGAAAACGCGCTGCGGCTTCGAAAAGTCGGGGAAAGGGCTCTCTGTGCATCATGCCGCAAATTGGGGGTCACCGTTATTGGCCTCTGTGCCATGGGGTGGTACGCAAGGTGGAGGCCCCCAACCCCCTGTGCTTGCAGAACGCACGCGGGTGGGGGGAGACAGCGGCGTGCACATAGCGGTCTCCCACAAGAGTAATCCGAGGCTTGCCGTTGTCCGACCTCGTTATCCGCCCCTCCATCTTCAGACCCCCTCCCTTCAAGCGAGCAGGTGACGACGGGTACAGTAACAACATACCTGTATGAGTCACCTGCATGGAGCGGGACTCGAGGATAGGAGGGATCAGTATTGAGGTTGGGAGGGATGCAAAGGAATTGAGTGAGGATCGATGCTGTTGAGCCGGGCCCGCGTAGAAAAGGCAGCAAATCGGCGAACAGGCCGGCCGACAACGGAGATCCTTGCGCAAGCGACAATGGGGCTTGGCTCTGTGCGCCGCCACCGACAATCTTGTTTTGTTTGCCTCTCCCGAGACCAAAGGGCCAGTCTCAACCGACTTGAAAGAGCCTCAACGGAGGCTTGATGTCAGATCACCACGCCGCAGAACTGAGCTCAGGAGCGGGTGGGGCTCGCGACAGTTTTTCGGGACCTTGGCGCTCCATAAGCGCTTGAGAAATTTCATCATGATGAACCATACAGTTTTTGTTCATCTTTTGTGTCCCGCCTGGTGCTTGGGGCGCTTATCAGGGGCCGTTTCGGTCAGGAAAAGAGGAGCCAGCCCTCCAGGGCTATGAAGAAAACAAGGCTGGGTTCCACGGTATGACTTGCCCGCCCGGTCATGGACGCAGCATGACTGCATTGCATGGGGACAATCTTAGAGCCGGAGGTCAATCCGCGGCTCGAGGGGCGAGGTTTGACAGTAGGTCCGCGCAAACACTAAGGTCAGGGCTCGTCTGCTCTCCTTTGCTATCGCCAACTGCCTAGCTCAGATTCCCATGTTACGCCAAAAACTCGAACCCTCAGGTTCGATTTTTGTTCACCGTAAAATTGGACCGTCAGCGCCGGGTGTGTGCATCGAGACTTCCGCCCACCTTGGCTTGACGCTCGCCATCGGAGCCTCCTACCTTGGGCAAGTCGCCCTGCATACCCTAGGCCAGTACGCGCCCCCCATCTGGACTCCACCCGCCCGGGCCCGCCTGGGCAGAGTCGACTAATGTGCCTGCCAATTTTTTTTTTCCTCCATCGTCAGCAGCGGGTGTACTCCAATTGTTTGTTCCCTCGGCCCAACTATCCATCATCCATGCTAGTCCCTCCCCCATTTATTCCCAGCCGTTTGGCTTTTTAAATAGATCCTTTTCTCTCCTCCGTTCCATTCCTGGGCGTCTGTTCTTTGACCAATCCGTATCTGTGCTGCCCTCGCCCCGGTCGCCCTCCCTGGGCCGTTGCGCCATCTCGCTGTATCGCATCCCTTCACACAATCTGAGCAGCCTAGCACTGGACGCCTCCGACTTCGCCGCTCCTGTCTGCCCTTGGCAGCGCGGGGCCGCACGCGCTATATGACAATGGGTGTTGGTGAATGCGAGTGGCCAATATGGCAAACTGATGATCTGACGCATTGTTTCCAGCATGAGTGAGTCCGAAGCATCCAACGGGAACCGCCGCAGCCCCCTGTCTTGGCGGCTTGTGCTCCCGTCGGCGGGGGTCCAATCACGTCTGGTGCCGTTTTCCTCTGGCGCTGACCATAACGCCTTGTCTCGCAGCTACCTGAGAATTCTCCTCCCGGCGACTGTCATAATCTTGTCGTTTTTCAACCTCGGCTTCCAGAGCGTTTACCGAGCCGCCGGCAGGCTAAAACGGGGGAATGATTCGTATGCGCCGATCCCGGACCGCGACAATGCCGCCCGCCAGCACACCGACCTCCCGCCCGACGAGCCGCTCACCGAGAACGCCGACGACGATGAGGGCCTGGCCATTAACGGGGGCCGCCTGACCCTCGTCAAGACCACAACCAGGGGCTCCATTGTCCAGGCCGATAAGCCCCCTGCCCAGACCCTTTCGATCGTTGTCGAAGAGCTCGCGATCGCCGGCTTGGTCGCCGTCAATGCTATCGCTCTGCTCAAGCGGGACACCTCGCGCCCCTCGCTCACCCCCGCCGTCGTCGGTCTGGCCACCTGGGTCTACGTCCTCGTCCTTGCCTCGCTCCGCCTCTTCCTCGGAAACACGCAATGGCGGGTGCCGCACCTCTGGAACCACACCGCCGCAATCTACAGCTGCCAGTGGCTCTTCACCATCGCCATCTTCCGCTCCGTCCTCGTCCACCCCATGTCGCAGCTGAGCCAGGTTTTGGTGATTATCGAGTTCTCTCTGACGACTCTGCTGTTCATCATGGCAATCACCACGCGCAAGGGCAATAAGACGGTCCTGCTAGAGTGGGAGGATGGGATTCCGCCCTCGCGCGAGAACCTTGCGTCGCTTTTCTCGTCCTTCTCCTTTTCTTGGGTTGATTCCATCGTGCGCCAAGGCTACAAGGAGCCATTCGAGATGGACAAGATCTGGAATCTGCTGCCCAAGGACAAGGCCGCCGCCGTCCTGTCCCACTACCGCCAAGTCAAGAAGACCTCGGCCCTGTCCTTCCACCTCCTAAGCTATTTCAAGGCCATGCTGATTTCCCAGGCCGGCTGGGCCGTCCTCTCAGGCTTCTTCACTTTTGCCCCTACCATGCTCCTCAAGGCCATTCTGGAGTACGTCGAGAACCCGGAAAGCGCGCCCCGTAGTGTCCTGTGGCTCTACGTCATCCTGCTTCCCGTTACCGACATCGTCCGCTCCTTTGCCGATAACCGTGCGCTGTGGATCGGCCGCAAGATCTGCATCAACGCCCGCGCCATCCTGATCGGCGACATCTACGCCAAGGCGCTGCGGCGCAAGGCTGCTGCCGGCAAAGACACCGTTCTTGGTGCCGACAAGAAGGATGAAGTCAAACTTGGCAAGCTCGCCAAAATCAAAAGGATGCTTGGCCTGGGCGGCAAGGACGACAAGAAGAAGGCCGCCGACGCCGACGCGAGCAAGGGCGACAAGAAGGCCGAGGAATCAGATGAGCAGGCCAACCTCGGGACCATCATCAACCTCATGTCGGTCGACAGCTTCAAGGTGTCCGAGGTCACGGCGTACCTACACTTCCTCGTTGCTTCCGCGCCCACGCAGCTACTGGTGTCCGTCGTCCTACTCTACCAGGTTCTTGGCCTGAGCGCCATCCCTGGCTTCATCGTCATGGCGGCTCTGCTTCCCATCAATATTGCGTTTGGGAAGGCTTTCAACTCGACTCAGAAGACTATCATGGCTGCTACAGACAAGCGGATACATACCACCAACGAGATCCTTCAGAACATTCGCATCATCAAGTACTTTGCCTGGGAGCACCGGTTCAGCAACATAGTCGACGAGAAGCGCAAGGCAGAGCTCAAGGCCCTCAGGGCGCGTTACATCGTCTGGGCGTGCGCTGTGGGGGCTTGGAACACGGTCCCGATCCTGATCACCTTTTTCTCGTTCCTGGTCTACACCATGATTGAGAAGAAGCCCCTCTACCCTTCCATCGCCTTCACGTCTATATCGCTCTTCATGCTTCTGCGCTACCCCCTGGATCAGCTTGGTGACATGCTTGCCCACGTCCAGGAGGCCAAGGTTTCGGTTGACCGTATCGAGGAGTTCCTTACCGAGGAGGAAACGGACAAGTTTGAGCAGCTCGGCGAGGATAATTTGGACGAGAATGGAAAGCGCGTCGTCGGTTTCCGGGAGGCGACCTTCATCTGGGGCGGCAAGGATGTCGTTGCTGAGGATGGCTCACAGGCGTTCCGACTGCTCGACATCGACATTGACTTCCAAATCGGCATGCTCAACGTTATCACTGGCCCCACTGGATCCGGAAAGACTTCGCTGCTCATGGCGCTGCTTGGTGAGATGACTCTAGTCAAAGGGCACGTGTTCCTTCCTGGTGGCAGGAGCCGCGAGGATGTGCATCCGGACCCCGAGACGGGGCTTGCCGAGACGTGCGCCTATGTCGCCCAGCAGGCCTGGCTGGTGAACGCAAACATCAAGGAAAACATTCTCTTCTCGGCGCCCTTCGACGAAAAGCGGTACCATGACGTCATCATCGCCTGTGCTCTCGAGCGTGATCTCGAGATCCTCGACAATGGCGACGAGACCCTGGTGGGCGAAAAGGGAATCACGCTATCGGGCGGTCAGAAGCAGCGCATTTCTCTTGCACGGGCTGTCTACTCCAACTCGAAGCACCTCCTCCTCGACGACTGCCTCAGCGCTGTTGACTCTCACACGGCTCAGTGGATATTCAATAGCTGCATCAAGGGCCCGCTCATGCGTAACCGAACCTGCATTCTTGTTTCCCACAACATCCCGCTTTGTGTGCCCCATTCGGACCACGTTATCGCCATGACCAACGGCAGGATAACAAGCCAGGGGACCCCTCAGGACATGATCGCGTCTGGCGTCCTCGGCGAGGAGATCCAGGCCGCTCAAAAGTCGAAGCCCGGAACCCCTAACATCTCGAGGATTCCTTCGCGCGTCCCCTCTAGCATCGGCGAGACGAGCGGCGATACGGTATTCGATGCCAATGGTGGCGATCATCTGTCCAAGCCTCAAAAACCCCAGAAGAAGCAGGATGCCATGGATGAATCCAAGGTGACTGGCGCTGTCAAATGGTCCGTGATGAAGCTATACCTCAGCTCTATGGGATCGTGGTGGTTCTGGGCCGTTGCCATGGTCGTCTTCATCCTCCAGCAGGTCAGCGGCGTTGCCTCCAACCTCTGGATCAAGGAGTGGGCGAACCAGTACACCGAGGAGGTCTCCAAGATCCAGTTCAACCCCAACTCGCTTTCCTACGGTGCTCAGTCATTCACCCCCACGTACATGGCCTCGGTGTCTACCTATGTCAAGGATCAGCTCACGATGAACTCAAACGCTACCGCTCTCCAGGTGGCCATGAACCCCGAGGTCAATGTGCAGTACTACCTGGTGGTGCTGGGGATTATCGGTCTTGCAGGCGCCCTGACGGCCTTCATCCGCGACCTCTGGATCTTCTTTGGCTCCCTGGCGGCCTCTTGGAAGCTACACAGCCAGCTCATGGGCGCTGTTTCGAGGGCCAAATTCAAGTTCTTTGACGTCACCCCCCTGGGCCAGATGATGAACCGGTTCAGCAAGGATCTCGAAGCTGTCGATCAAGAAGTGGCCCCCATCGCCATTGGAGTTATGAGCTGCGCTCTTGGCATCCTTGTCACAGTGACTCTGATCGCCTCTGTCACACCTGGGTTCCTTGTATCTGGCGTGTTTATCACGGCCGCTTACGTTTTCCTCGGAAGGTACTACCTCGCCGCTTCGCGCGACCTCAAGCGGCTGGAGTCCGTCCAGCGCAGCCCCCTGTTCCAGCAGTTTGGCGAGACCCTGAGCGGTGTCACCACGATCCGGGCGTACGGGGACGAACGGCGATTCGTCCGCGACAACATGGCGCGCATCAACGCGCAGCTACGGCCGTTTATCTACCTGTGGGCAGCTAACAGGTGGCTCGCTTTCCGGACGGACCTTCTGGGCGACCTGGTCGCCTTCTTCGCCGGAGTGTTTGTCATCCTCAGCATCGGCGTCATCGATGCGGGCTCTGCAGGCTTGTCGCTGAGCTACGCGATCGGGTTCGCCGAGAACATCCTCTGGCTTGTCCGGCTCTACGCCCTGAACGAGCAAAACATGAACGCGGTAGAGCGTGTCAAGGAGTACCTGGATGTGGAGCAGGAGGCAGAGCCCATTGTGGAGAAGAACAGGCCGCCGCGAAACTGGCCTAGCTCCGGGGCGGTCGAGTTCATAAACTACACGACACGCTACCGCAAGGAACTCGACCCCGTCCTGCGGAACCTCACTTTCAAGATCGATGCGCACGAGAAAGTGGGCATTGTGGGCCGAACCGGGGCGGGCAAGAGCTCTCTTGCCCTGGCCATCTTCCGCGCACTCGAGGCAGATGAGGGCAAGATTCTCATCGATGACATCGACATTGGTCTGATTGGCCTCCGCGACCTGAGAGAGGCCATCACTATCGTGCCGCAGGAGCCGACCCTTTTCATGGGTACGATCAGGTCCAACCTGGATCCGTTCCAGCTCTTCACGGACGAGCAGATTTTCAAGGCGCTTCGCCGCGTGCAGCTCATCTCGCCTGGCGAGTCGACGGGCGGCAGCAGCCCGCCGAGCCCCGTGGAAGCCGTGCCAGAAGCCTCTGACGGCTCGGCCAGCCCTACAGCGACGGCACCGAGCGCCAACAAGAACGTCTTCCTGAACCTCTCTTCACCCGTGTCCGAGTCCGGATCAAACCTTTCGCAGGGTCAGCGGCAACTACTCTGTCTGGCGCGGGCGATGCTCAAGGAGCCGTCCGTGCTGGTGATGGACGAGGCCACGGCATCCATCGATTACGCGACCGATTCCAAGATCCAAGATACGATCCGGGAGATGAAGGACGCGACCATAATTACCATCGCGCACCGCCTGCAGACGATTGTGGACTACGACAAGGTCCTCGTGCTGGACAAGGGCGCCGTCGTTGAATACGGACATCCCTGGGAGCTGATGCAAAAGGGAGAGGGCGGAAGCTTCCGGGGCATGTGTGATATGAGCGGCGACTATGACGTGCTGGCTAAGTCGGCCAAGAAAGCCTGGGAGATCAAGAAGGGGCAGGGGACACTTATTGATATCGAAGAACCGGCTGCCAGCGGCGATGGGGCGGCTGCGTCATAGCATGGCGCCCCAAGCACGGTTGGCACGGCCGAGCCGCCAAAGGATACAGCCGCCTCCGGTACCGGCCTGAGACGTCAGAAGATGTTTACAGACTTCTCGATTGACGACCAAGGCCAAGAAGGAGCCGGGGCCCTGGCTTCGTCGCCTCGGCGGCACCCGCAGCCACGTCATTGGCCCGGAGTTGACGACACACCTTCGGTCCGTCGCCGCCGCAGCCTCGGCATTCATCCAGCACCTGGTTCGTCTATTGGGATGGATGCGGATCTGGCGACGAGGTTGGGCGAATGGCTTACGACCATCTGGGCCTAAGATGGACCGGGCATCACTTTGGCAGAGTGCAATACGAGAATAAGCGAGAACACATTCTCCCGGTTGTTGTGCAGTAAAAGTATATCATAGGCTGCTATCGTATAGGCCCATAGGGACACCTTTGTGAGATGGATTCAATGGCGATACATAATTGTATTTGGATATTGAGTGTACATGCTTTGTTTACCCTCCGCCCTCTGTTCTATTCGTTAAGTTGAGGTGATGTTATCAATCGTGAAGCGATATGCCACTTCCGTCTCGGTGAAGGTGTTTGTCTGTCCTTGGCATTGTATTGTGTAATTGGTCCGCTGTTGGAGAAAGATGAGTGTGATGTTATATCAAAGGCCACAATCTTCCGGCCAGTAAAAGAGGATCGCATGTTGTATTTTGAGTTTAGAAAACAATGTGTTCTTGTTTTGAAGTCGCCAAATGAGCAGTCCTGGAAGTTTGTCAGCCGCTGGTCATGTATTTCTAGTGGAAGCACCAGACAGAGCTCCTGCCCCACCAAACGAGCAATAAAGTCAAGGACCGTCATCGCTAAGGCGCAGCCACTCGAGAGCACTCGCCCGAATTCCCCAAAACAGACAGCAGATGTCTTTGACATTTATCACACTGATTGCAAAAACCCGACCAAAGATGGAAATCTCAAACCCACGACGAATCCTGGTCGTGTCGCTTAAAAGCGACGCCGAGCTACTTGGCAAGTTCATCAAAGGTCTGTTGGTGATTGGACCCCCACCATGACTACCTACAGCAAAGGGGGACGGACACACCATAAGATATTCTAGAAACACAACTATGCATACTGACATTGGAACCCCTCCCCCCCAAAAAAAAACAGACCTCACGGGCTCGCACCCGTCCCCCTCCACGGCCGTGGACGGCGCCGACGGGGGCCCGGGGCTGGCGGGCACTACGCACGAGTTGGCGCTCAAGACACCCTACTACGCGGCGTCGGTGCCCGTGTGGCTCGACACGGTCGGCGGCGCCCCGGGCGACTGGGCCGACTCGTTCCTGTCGGACGAGGCGCGCGAGGTGCTGGGCGTGCTGGGCGGCGTCGCCGTCGTGTTTCCACTTGGTGGCGGCGGCGGCGGCGGCGGCGGTGGCGGTAGAGGTAGCGGTAGCGGTAGCAGGGACCTAGTCTCGGCGGTTGGCCGCGTCGTCCGCGAGGGCCTGGGCGGCTGGGACTGGGACGGGGTCGGGCTGGCGGTCGGGGTGGGCGAGGCACCGGCGGCGGCGGCTGCGGGAGGAGGAGGAGAGGACTTGCTGGGCGAGTGGGAGGAGTGCTGCGCCGAGGCGGGGCTGGAGTTTGTGCACGCCAGGCCGGGCGGCGGCGGCGGCGGCGGGACAGGGGATGGGGGGTTGAGGAACGAGTTTGGCGGTTGGTCATCCTTTTTTTTCCTTGCCCCGCCTGCCTGAGGATTTATGGTTTGCTACGGAAAATAAAAACGTTGCTGACAAAAGCGATGCAGAGAAAACGGGCATCCCCCGGGTGCTCGAGGCGCTGCAGTCCAACGACTGGGCGCTGGACGTCCCCCTCGACGGCCTGGACTACGACGACGACGACGACGGCGACGGCAGCGGCGACAACGACGACGGCTCCGAGTTTGGGGACTTTGCAAAGGCGGCAGGCGGCGGGAAGCCCACGGACCTGGATCCCGCCAGCCTCGGGTTTGGCTTCGACAAGGCCGACTTTGAGGGGCTGCGGCGCGCCATCTGGAGCTCGGGCGTGGAGCCGGAGGCCGAGGACGACAGGGCCGGGGTTGAGGCGGGTAGTTCCTGGACGGCGAAGCCGAGCAGTAGTGCTCAAGGCACTGCTGCTGCTGCCGCTGCTGCTGCTACTACTACTACTACTACTACTACTACTACTACTACTACTTCTACAGCAAAGGGGCCAGGAGACACCGATGGTGACAAGGAAGGGGGCAGCGGTGGTGGTGGTGGTGGTGGTGGTGACGAGGACAGCCTCAGGCAGGAGGACGTGGAAAAGGTGGAGGCCATGATGCGAAAGCTGCTCGCGGCGCGCGAGATGGGCGCCGGCATGCCCGAGGAGCAGCGGCGGCGGCTCGCGGCCCGGGCGGTGGGCGAGGTCATGAGGGAGCTGTAGGCTGGGAGGTATAGGGTTGCTTCTACTGGATGACGGGGAGGAGGCCTCTACCCTGCCGCCCCCAACTCGAGCCCCGTGTCTGGCCAGATGTCGGTTGGCTGGTACCACCTATTTTGTGCATGTATATGCCTAGGTGCCTACCCAAGGACGTGTGTTGGACTTGGCACTGCCGGGAATCCTCCTGACAAGAAGACGTGGGCAAGGCTAACCGGCCGAGTGATATGGCATGGATCGCCCTGCCTTGTTAAAAAAAGGGGAAGACGGCGAGGACCGATCTGGCCAAAGATGCATAATGGATGGCAGCGGGCTGTTCTCCACTGCGGCGGCGGCGGCGGCGGCAGCAGCGGCGGCTTGTTGACAGCGGCCTCCCGGTCTCGGGCTTGGTTTCGTTTTGATGGTTTCATTTTATCATTTTTTTTGGACCTTGTTTTCATAGGTATCTCCTAGAACGGCCTTCCCCCGGTGGTATAGAGCTGCTTGGAAAGGAGGTGTCAAAGTTACAACATGTCGACATCTACCGTGACAAGCACAGTATAGTTGTCTACGCGCCCTCACTCACGTCACCCGGGGCGTCTCGCCCGGCAGCAGCAGCTTGGCGCGTCTGCCCTACGGTTATTGTCTGCATATGCACGGGGGTTGGTTCGGGGCGCGTGGAGAAATCAAAATGAAAAGAAAGAAAAAAAAAGAGAGAACAGGATGATGGAAGCATCCCACGTTCCTTCTCCCAGCCCGCGCCGTCCCGATCGAGAGGGCAGGGGGAGTGGGCCGGGGGACGGGATCCGGTGGTGGGGGGGAGATGGCAGGAAAGCGGACATCAGGGCATCGAGACGTCAGACAGGACCGTACCCTGGGAGGTTACACTGGCAGGAAAGTCAGTGTCGGCCAGATTGGGAAAAATGCACGACACGGGCGCTGCTTTGTTTGGATGCTGCGCCTGGGTCAGGATCAAGTCTGGCCTGGTGTCTTCAAGATCAACAAATCCGCCAGCCTGACTCGGCGCCATGGATCGAGACAAGAGTTCGAGCAAGGGGCTCGATTCGCTGCAGTGCGGCAGTGCTCCACTCAAGGAGCTCTTATAGGCCCCTCTGTTATGTAGCGCAAGCCCCCTCCCCTCGACGCGTCATGCGAGGCGCGTTTTGGCCGGAGCAAGGGCAGCCCGTCGTTCAACACAACGTCAATATTGACATGACATGTTTTGGGGTTTGGGGTGGCACGGGAAAGAAAACAAGCCCATGACGGTGCATTTTCTCCTCGACTTCTTTCACCGCCCCCGGCCGGGGCGAGCCTGGTTGCTTGTCAGAGAACCGGGCTGCTTGGACCAGACCGACTGAGCCACCCTGGAGTCTTTTCTGGTGGGGTGAAGAAGAGGGCGAGAGGGCTGGGGCTTGATGATGGGGAGCAGCAGATAGGTTCAGAAGCATTCTCGTTTCACCATGGATTGTCGCGTTGGGCTCTTCCAATTCCCATCCATGGCTCAAGCTGCCCGCTTGTGGGGTCTCCTTGGCATTTGTAACGACGGGGGTCCTGGCGCGGGTGAGGGAATGCGCAAGCACTCTGCCGGCCGGGAATGCGGCGAAGCCAAGCGACGAAGAAGAGGAGGGAGAGAGAGAGACGAGGGAGAAAAAAAAAAAAAAAAAGGGGTGAGTGGATGCCCGAGTCGTGTGGTTCGGGCTTTGAGGGGAGTGTCGCTCAATATACGAGCTGGCAAGTTGAGTCTAGAGCTGCCATTATCATTGTGGTTATGCATGATGGGCCGGCTGATTGATGACTTGTCTGTTTCTGGTCTATGCTACGCACTCGGCCGGCTGTGCCTCTTTCAGGAATCCCATCCCGGCAGCTGTGCTTGTCAATTGGGTTGGCATTCGCTACCTGCACACAGGGAGACAGTCCATGCGACCCCGCCCCGCCCTGCAGGGTCATGTTCGTCTTCACCGATCTGACGCCCACTCACCGTCACACATCCAGCCCGCCCCCTTTTTTTTCTTTCTTTCCTGTCGGCATCTTTTCTGTCCTTTGTCGTGGTCGTTCGTTGGGGGAAAGGTGGTGCATCGCACCTGCAGAGTCCGTCCTTATGCATGCATGCACATGCACCACCCCACCCCATCGTTTGTTCTCCCTAGTACTGTGTGCGCGCGAACTGGGGCCCGGCCGTCGGTTTGCTTCGAGTGTGGCAGGCAAGGTGAACCATGCGAAGCGTCGGACGGACGGCCGCCGCCTCAAAAAAAACAAAAAAAAAAACGACGCCATCGCCCGCCCCCTTTCGGGACACAAGAAATCGATGCCCGTTTTTTTTTTTGCTCGTGAACCTTTCCCGGGCTGCGGGACGAGACGGTGATCCCCGCAGAGTCCTAGATTCCCTGGTTTCGGCCTAGGCTGTCTTCGTTTGCTAGAGCCCGCACACTCACTCATCCTCCTTTCCATCGAAATCGCAGCAGAGCGGACAAGCGCCGCTGAGGCTGCAGGAACAAACCTGGCCAAGAAGAAAAGGGCTCGCATATTGAATCTCACTGCATTATGCGTACTATGCGTACTGTGTGTGGGTGGTATCCTGCTGTTTGGTCTAGGGGCACACACACACAGCACAGCTGTCCAGTCGGAAGCTCGACGCTTATGCAGGTACCTGGGGGAGTGAACACATGTCGGCTGACGGAGGACTTGCGGCTATCAATAGACCCCCCAACGCGCGGGCTGGCTGCAGAAGGAAAAAACAGCAACAAAAGATGCGCGCCGGCTGCCCGTCAAATATAATACCGCCCATCTAACCTTGGTACAGCCGGCTGAAGACCCCAGCAGGGGAGGGAAGGTCACAGCCGGGACCGATGAGGAGGAATCGGATGGAGGAGCTGACAAGGACAGAACAAACGGTCGATCAACACGTGACACCCGTTGCCGCGCCGTGTGTTTGGCGATGCGGACTGGACGGGAATTTGTGGCGCCCTAGGCAGAGACGGCCGGTCGATGGTTTGGCGTTGCAGAAGCGGGTGAAACCCTTTTTGGGACATTTTTCTTCTCGGAGCCACCCATCTCGAGACGGCAAGTTCCATGGTAAGCGACGCAATCGACATTTCTTTGCCGGGTGCTACTTTTTTCCCTCTCTCACAGGTGCCTTCGAGGCGCGTCTTGGCGGCCGCCCCCTTTTCCCTGTCCTCCCCCATGTTCGCCCGCCCTATTCGTGGAAACGGCCGGGACGCAAACACATGCGATTGGCCTGATACGGCACGCGCTGGACCAACCAACCCACCACCCCACACAGAAGTCAACCACCCCCCCCTTTTTTCCAGACGAATTCTTTTCCAGAGCGTGGACACCACCGGCAAAGAAAAACAAAAAAGGGCGTCGTCCGCCTGACAGCTGACAGGGCGAACCGGGGCGAGCGCTCGCTCCGACAGGAGCGCGACTTGTGCAGCCCCCGTGGGACCGTCTACCTAGGGACGGATGGGGAAGGCTTGGCCGGACCAGTCAGAGTTCGCATCGGGGGCCAGGCACCGTGACACGTTTCCTGTTCTTTAGCGGCAGTGAACCCATAGCGTCGGGATGGTGGCGACAGGAGAAGGAAACCCACACGGAGGCTTTCGGCCAGCGTCTTACGGCCTTCCCTGTTGGTGGCTGTGTGCCCGTGTGTAACGGGCGAGTGAGGAAAACAAATGGGATTCACATGTCCCATCACCCATGCGTGCCTGGCTGGCATGATCGATCACGTTTTCTGCACTCGGACCTTTTTTGCCCGGCTTTTGGACTTGGCTTGTTAGGGACACGGTACTGTGCAAACGGCCTGTGTGATGGTGTCGTTGTTGATCGATAGCGTCCAAGCCAGACCTTGACGGGGCCCGCCGTCTAGCGTAGCATTGCCTTACTGTCAGTCGCGGCGGTGGCCCGATTCCACGGCATTGTTCTCGTGTGGGATAGGGAGAAAAAAGACTGGGTTTGGGGGTGGTTGCGTTGCTCGACTCGTCCACCTTCAGTCCCCACAGTCTGGACCTGTTCTGCTTGCCCTTTGCCAGACGCTTTTGAACAAAAGAAAAAAAAACCCCGCGGCATAGATTGAATAGCCCGCAGCTTCTCACCGGGCCCAGGCCAAACCCTCCCACCCTCGTCATCGAAACGCGCAGAACCAACTCCCTTCTCTCTCTGTGTGTGTGTGGGAATGGAATGTTGGAGAGCCAGTCGGCGGCCCCAGCTCGCCCAGGCGCGCCAGGGCGGGCATTGAAGCCCAAGACGTGACCCGAAAAAAGGCGGCGAGCAGGGGGGTTGATGGTGGTGAGTTGTGGGTACCTGTACGGTGCCGAAACGCCCCCAACCTTTCGTAGCGCGACACACTGTCCCCATCGGCCAGAACAGTGCGTGCGTGACCGTGGTTCCGCCTGCAACAGTTAGGGGATCCTGGCAGATCTCTTGCCTGAACTGAGCTGGTTGATGGCAGAGTCAGACCCAGGTGTTCTCAGTGCGAGGACGGACAGCAGGCGACGGGAGCCTCTTCTTTTTTTTTTTTTTTTTTTGCATGTCAATCCTTCCCACCACGCCAGGGCGCGCTATATGCGGTCAAGTGGGCCCTGACGAACGGTCGAGAGCGAGAGCGAGAGAAAAGCCCAGGCACGCCAGGCATGGGGATCTGACGGGATGGGGATGGCGTCTGGACGGTGTCGTCCCATGTTGCGGCCCGGGTCTGCTGTCTATTGACAGAGGATCGTCTTGGTTCATTTGAAGTCGACGTCCTTCTTCCTTTTTCCTTCCCTCACCTGCGCCCAGAACCGAACCCCACGAGAACCTGAGCGGATCCTCGCTGGGAGAGCTGGCGATCTCTTGCCTTGTCTCACCTGCCCTCTCCCGCCCGGGCCTGCCCACGAGCCCACCCTGCCACCCCTGCCTTTTGGGATGTGACCCTGTTTCTCATGCGGTGCGTCCGTCAAGGGGGAGGGGAGGGAGGGGCTGGCTGGTACGTGCATCAACCTACGCAGGACTGGATGCAACGGAACACTCCTCCGAAGGGCAAACCCGGCTTTTGGTGGGGAGGGGGACGGCCAGCACAAGCCGTCCTGCACCGATGCGGTGGCCAATCGTCCAGCCTGGATGGGCGATGGACGATTTGGTTGGTCGTGCCTGTGGTGACCTCGCGCCCGAGTGCCGGAAGACGGGGGTGGAGGTCTGGGACCAGCACACACCACGTCGCGTGGGTCGAGAGAGAAAAAAAAAAGACTCAAGAACGATGGTCACAGCATGCCAGGATAGGCTATCCGGGTTGGAAGTAAATATACTTTGGTTGCTGACCGGCTTGGATCAAGAAGCTTTCGTATGCGAGCCCTCACCTTTCCCTCCGAGGCAACGCGGAGCGGGGGGTCGGCGACAGGAACGCGCGATGCCCTCAACCCAAGTGGAATCCACTGGACCTGCAACGAGTTATGCACACACACTTGATCTGTGCCACTGTACAAAGAGCGAAAAGAAGTGGGGAGCCAAACACAACAGAAAAAGGGGTTCGGGGGCACAGACCGGTGCGGATTGGTCAGGTACCGCACTGTGTGGCACCATGGGTCCCGTTGTGCTCCCCTCTGACGCCACCTACCATCAGCG